ATGTCAGCCGAACAAGAGCGGAGAAAGTTACCGCACAAGCTGCATACACAGAAGCAAACAGGGAAGTGAAGAAGAGCATCAGAGCTGACAAACGAAAATACGTGGAAGATCTAGCAACGACGGCGGAAAAGGCTGCAAGAGACGGAAACTTGAGACAATTGTATGAAACTACAAAGAAGCTCGCCGGGAACTATCGTAAACCAGAACGACCAGTGAAAAGCAAGGAAGGCAAAGTAATCAGCAACACTGACGAACAGCGAAATAGGTGGGTAGAGCACTTTAAGGAACTATTGAATCGACCAGCTCCTCTGAAGACACCCAACATCGAAGCAGCATCCAAGGACCTCCCAATTAATATTGGCGCACCTACGATTGAGGAGATCAGTATGGCCATCAGACAAATCAAGAACGGCAAAGCAGCAGGACCAGACAACATTCCAGCAGAGGCAATGAAAGCAGATGTAGAAGCAACCGCGAAAATATTTCACATCCTCTTCAAGAAGATTTGGGATGAGGAACAAGTACCATCAGACTGGAAGGAAGGATACCTGATCAAAATACCAAAGAAAGGCGATCTCAGCAAGTGTGAGAACTACAGAGGCATCACTCTTCTTTCAATACCAGGCAAAGTCTTCAACAGGGTATTGTTAAACAGAATGAAGGACTTCGTAGACGCCCAACTTCGAGATCAACAGGCCGGATTTCGGAAGGATCGATCGTGTACTGACCAAATTGCTACATTACGGATCATTGTGGAACAATCAATTGAATGGAACTCACCACTCTACATCAACTTCATCGACTACGAGAAAGCATTCGATAGCGTGGACAGGAAAACACTGTGGACTCTTCTTCGACACTACGGTGTGCCTGAGAAAATAGTCAACATCATACGGAACTCTTATGATGGATTCAACTGCAAAATCGTGCACGGAGGACAGCTAACCGACTCTTTCGAGGTAAAGACCGGTGTCAGGCAAGGTTGCTTACTTTCACCCTTTCTCTTTCTCCTGGTGATCGACTGGATTATGAAAACGTCAACAGCTGGAGGGAAGCACGGTATCAACTGGACAGTTAGGACGCAGCTGGACGATCTGGACTTCGCAGATGATCTGGCTCTTCTATCGCACACTCAACAACAAATGCAAGAGAAGACGACCAGTGTAGCAGCAGCCTCTGCAGCAGTAGGTCTCAACATACATAAAGGAAAGAGCAAAATTCTCCGATGCAACACAACATGCACCAATCAAATCACTCTTGATGGAGATGCCTTGGAGGACATTAACACCTTTACATATCTGGGCAGCATCATCGATGAGAAAGGTGGATCCGATGCAGATGTGAGGGCGCGGATTGGCAAAGCGAGGGCTGCATTTCTACAAATGAAATACATCTATAACTCCAAACAACTTTCAACCAAAACCAAAATCAGGATTTTCAATACAAATGTCAAAACAGTTCTACTGTATGGAGCGGAAACCTGGAGAACTATGAAAGCCATCATCCAGAAGATACAAGTGTTTATTAACAGCTGTCTACGTAAAATACTTCGTATTCGATGGCCAGACACCATCAGCAACAACGAACTGTGGGAGAGAACAAGTCAGATTCCAGTGGAAGAGGAAATCAGGAAGAAGCGGTGGAAGTGGATAGGACATACACTACGAAAAGCACCTAACTGCGTCACGAGACAAGCCCTCACATGGAACCCTCAAGGCAAAAGGAAAAGAGGAAGGCCAAAGAATACATTACACCGTGAAATAGAGAAAGATATGAGAGGAATGAACAAACATTGGACAGAACTGGAGGAAGAAGCCCAGGACAGAGTTGGTTGGCGAAAACTGGTGGGCGGCCTAGGCTCCATTGGGGGTAACAGGCGAAAGTAAGTAAGTAAGTAATAGTGTCACTCCATTATTAGCCTTCGCTCTCATTTACCGACTAAGGTGAACTCGTAAAAGCATTCAAGCATATCAACTGCTGGCAAGAATAACATTACTCTCCCCAAACATAGAGAAAGAATATAAGACCAATGATCACCAGTTCAAGAGTTGTTATTACTTTTCAGTCATACTTTTACATACACACAAAACTAGATCACATTACACCGATAATTGAAAATTAACAACTGTACACATGAATATGTCAATACTGGCTATGAGCAAATAATAATAATAAACTGGTCACTGTTGGGGATGTTGGATCCTAAGAACTCGCTTGATAAATATGTTTATCTTGGATTTATTTCATGGACCGATCAGTTGACCTTGAGATCACATCTCCCACCAGGAAAATCCTTGACTGTGATTGGTTATTGTGTGACTTTAGTGTACTGTTTTTGTGACTGTCCCAAGGACGTCTCTATATAGAGTATAAATAAACGCAATTTGAGTGCTTGTATTCATTGTGTGTGCTGGCTGGGTGTTTGTAGAATACACTTTCTACGCTATATCAAGACTTCTTGCTGGTACAATTGAGACAATCGGATTACAGTAACCTACCTGTACGCTGGTTCATTGTTTCGTTCTCGTTATTCGGCTAAGGTGAACCCGTAAAAGTTTTAAGCATACCTAGAGACGAGCATAACAGTCACACACACACATCCAAATCGTATGATCAGTTGAAACCTGAAAGCATGATATGCTTGAATGCTGTTACAAGTTCGCCTTCCTCGGTAAACGAGAGCGAAGACAAGTGATGGAGTGACACGATGTACTATTAGAATCCGTTGTCCTCCACCCGCACACAAACTGAGTTTATTTATGCAAGGTAGAAACGTCCTCGGCAGAGCGACGAAAATAGCGTACTAAAATAATCCATCAACCAATGATAGTCAAGGATTTTCCGGAAGGGAAATGCAATCTCAAGGTCAACTGAGCAGTCAAGGCGCGGAAACAAAAAAATCCAAAATAAGGACCTTGATAAAGTGAGTTCTGGACATCAAACGTCCCATAAAAAGCAATAGACGACTGTTTCGTCCTGGTAAGAGACTCATCAACTGTGCACGAGACTGTTGATCTTGTGCTTAACCCCGACTCCAGAGTCATGCATACACACTGCTGATGAGTCCATATTAGGCACGAAACAGCTGTCCAGTCCAATGGTGTAATCTAACACTGATCAGTTCATAATTTCAATGAAATCCAATAATTCTCCACAACCCTCATAGACAGACAATAATCAATAAATTGATTTACTCAGTGGCTAAAACATTCATCTTTATTCGAATATAGCATATAACAAAAAGGAAGGGTATATATTGAGTATGATTCAATTATCTTGAATTAAACTGATCTTAATTTTCATTGAACTGAAATCTATTAACACTCATCAACAAAAAACGAATCAATAATTATTGATCTACACAATGAATAGAGTAAATGAGTGAAAAATTTATGATCAAAATATTTTCAAGTGTTTAAAAAAATCAACAATGGATAATAATAAAATCTAGCTCGAATCGACTGCCTCCTATTTCAACACTGATATATATCGGTTGGGATAATTGCTCAGGGGCCAAAACTGATATCTATGGTTTCTATAAAGGGTCCAGCCTCCCAGTCTTTGATTTACAGATATGATCTGTAAAAGGCAATGAAACAATACGGTCTTGTGATAAGCGGTGACAAGAAATAGGCTCTTAGTCTGTCTTTTCCCGGAGAATCATAAGGTCCATTTGCAACACCAGTTTGTGATCAAGGTTTTACAACTGCTTTAGATGGATCATCCATACCGAACACCAACTTAGTTGAAGTGTTCGCCAGACATTCGTTTTCCATCCTCCTCAATCTTGTGAACAACACGCTCGTCACGAGAAGTCAGTGAGTAAAACTCCTGTAATAGTGGCTACATACGTATTGTCATAGGGGAACATTTCAAGAGGCAGAGCGGAATCTCCACACTCTAGTCCGAACCAGGGCACTTGCTGGCAATATATATATCCACTAATGTTAAGATAGTTCTACTGCATGGGCTAGAAACTTCGAGAACTACGAAAGCTGTCATACAGAAGACGCAAGTGTTAATCAGCAGTTGTCTACGCTAGATACTGAGTAACCGTTGACTTTGGTGTTGGTTGATAGTAGTTTCGAGTTCCAAATGTTGTCTAATTGTAGAAATGCAGCCGTTACTTTGCCAATCGGCACCCTCACATCTGCATTGGATCCACCTTGATTGTCGATGATGCTACCCAGATACGTAAAGGTGTTACCGTCCTCCAAGGCATCTCCATTAAGGGTGATTTGGTCGGTGCATGTTTTGTTGTATCGCCGAATCTTGCTTTTTCCTTTATGCATGTTGAGACCTGCTGCTGCTGAAGTTGATGCTACAATGGTCGTCTTCCCTTGTATTTGTTGTTGCGTGTGTGATAGTAGAGCCAGATCATCTACAAAGTCCAGATCGTTCAGCTACATCCTGGCTATCCACTGTAGACCGTGCTTCCCTCCAGATGTTGATATCTTCATAATGCAGTTGGTCACCAGTAGAAAGATAAAGGGTGAGAGTTAGCAATCTTGCTTGACATCAGTCTTCACCTTGAACGAATCTGTCAGTTGTCTTCCGTTCATAGTTTTGCAGTTAAATCCATTGTAAAAATATCGTATGATGCTGACTATCTTCTCAGGCACGCCATTGTGTCGAAAAAGCTTCCATAGTAATGTCCTGTCCACGTTATCGAATGCTTTCTTGTAGTCAATGAAGTTGATGTAGAGTGGTGAGTTCCATTTAGGAAAGCATCCAACTTCGTCACATGGCAAGCCATCACTTGGAATCCTCAAGGACCGACGAAAAAGAGGAATACCAAAAAACACATTTCACCGAGAAATGGAGATAGACATGAGAAGAATGAGCAACAATTAGACAGAACTAGAAAGGAAGGCCCAGGACAAAGTAGGTTAGACAATACTTACCGGCCGCCTATGCTCCATCCACTGAGAGTAACAGGCGTGCGTGCGTGCGTAAGTAAGTAAGTAAATAGATAATTTTATATAAGCGACACAACTTACGTTCCATTTTATCTAATTCTGCGTCGATTGTATCAAAAAATTCTTCTTCATGCATTGGTGAATTTAAACCTTCTTCATAATCGGGACCAACTAGCCGAACAATATTATCATTCACAGTATTTAAAGTATTCAAGCTATCACCGCGATTGTCACCGATGCCAACATTATTATTATTATTAGTACTAGTAGTAGTTGCTGTTGTAATTTGATTACATTTCAATAAAGACTCTTTCAAATGATCCGCGGTAAAATGTTTAAAATCCAAACTACTACCATAACTGAAAACTCTTGAATGAGTTGGTTGATAATGAACCGTTGTACTGGTTGTGGTTTGTGTGATCGCCGCTGATGACAGACCAACTAGATTACGTAATTGTAATAATTCAAATGTCATGGCTTTTTGCATTTCTTCTAAACGACGACGTTTGTCAATTTCACGTTCTAAACGTTTACGCCAATTCTCTTCATGTTGTTGCATTAAATCAATTGATTGAGATAAATTTGTTAGAATTCCAGTCGTAATTGCCTAGAGAAAATATAGAAATTTAGTTTTTTTGTTTGTAGTCCGAAATTTGCATTACGTGGTTGTGAATATTGTTGAGTTTTTTTGAAACCATGAATCGATCAATGTTAGACCACCATTAGAAACCTGGAAGCACTGAAAGACAGCCATTCCGTCCCGGTATGGGACTTATCATTGGCAGTGCACATCCAGGACTCCTGCACCCCACAGGATTCGAACCCAGGACCTTCGGTAATGTAGGCGAACGCCTAACCATCGGAACACTGAGCCGGATCTCCGAGTTCTAGTGGGAAGACGTGACCAGTGAAGTTCAACTTGTTCGGGTGTAGACAGTAACTACTGAAGACTGTGAATGAGGTTGCGCAACTCCGTGAATCGATCAAGTTAGACAATAACACTGTTAGATACCGGCTCAGTGGTCCGATGGTTAGGCGTTCGCCTACAATACCGAAGGTCCTGGGTTCGGATCCTCCGGGGTGAAGGAGTCGTGGATGCGCACTGCCAGTGGTGAGTCCCATACCAGGACGAAACGGCCGTCCAGTGCTTCTTGCAGGTTTCTAATGGTGGTCTAACAATGATCGATTTATGGTTTCAAAAATTCATCAATCAATCAATGTTCGACTACCATTAGAAACTTGGAAGCAATGGATGGCCGTCAAGTTCTAGTATATGAGACACATCAGTGGCAGTGCGCATTCACGACAATCGGACACGGGAATCGAACCCAAGACCTTCGGTCCCGAGCATGAATGTTTACACTCTAAACCAATGAGCCGGTATTCAACGGTGTTAATGTCCAACATTTATTCACTCCACGGTGCTTCTAATCCGACAGGGTTGAACTCCATTGATCACGACTCCTAAGTGGAATTCGGCAAAACCTCCTCAAAAAGCTAGTCACTAGTGAACACATAAACATTTGCATTAACGGGTTGCGGGGGTTGTTGAGTTTCATTGAAATCATGAATCAATCAATATACTTCCAGGTTTCTAATGTTGGTCTAACATCGATCGATTCATTACGTCAATCAAACTCAACAATCGCCACAACGTGTTAAAGAATTGTGACTATTTGAATAAAGATGAAACATAATATCCAAACCGTAAAAAATTGAACAGTGTAAGTTTTATTTATTGTGAAGACGATAGTGTACCCCATTGAGTACTAATGTCTACTTCCATAATTGGTCTTTACACACGTCTTAACAAGACGTAGAAAGTGTATTCTACAAGCACCTAGAAAATCGAAGTTCACAAGCACAGAAATCGAGTTTATTCATAGAAATGTTCTTGGGAGAGCCACAACAATAACACATAAACCAATGACAGTCAAGGAATTTCGGAATGGGAAACGCAATCTCTAGGTCAACTGATCAGCCCATCCATGAAAGTATAAAATCTAAAATTAGCACCTTTTCCAAGTGAGTTTTGAAGATCTAACATCCTCAACATTCAGAAGATTAGAACTTGAGAGTTTCAGTCATGTCAATGAAGGTCTCTGACCAATTGATTACCATCATCTCACGGACTCCAACCAAGTAGGTAGTCTACACATACCAACACAACTTCGTCCCCTTGTCAATGATTGGATGGATTTGTGCCATGTTATTTTTTTCGGTTTGACCGCCCATTTCCTTCCTTCCAGTCAAATTTTTTTTGTTTAGCAATTTAAGTAAACGAAACTGTTTTTAAACAGAGAAATGAGAAGACATATTTTGTGAGATAGTAGTACCATTTCGTGCTTTCTCATCCATCAGTCACACATACAAGCAAGATCAAAATTTCCTATTTAGCATGACATTCACTCACTAGAACCATGGTAAACAAAGGTCAACATACAGTTGTTTTTGAACACATAAAGTTGGAGGACTTTTCCGACCAATCAAGATAGCTTCAAGTAGTTTCACTGTGTGTGGGTTTTGATGATATGTCACAACTTTCAAGGTTGATTTTGGGTCAATTTGATGACCACTCATCATTAGATGTTTTGCAATGGACGAGGCTGGGTTTCTTGATCGATTTTGAGATGACGGGCTAGGTGGATGATGTATCATGGATTTGATTATCCATTTTGGAATATGTTCCCCTATCCTGTCTTCCAATCAGCAATCTGTCCTCCCTAAGTAACTTTCTCCGCAGTTACATGTGAATTGGTAAATACAGTGGAATTTGGACTTAATCGGTCTTGGAAACTTGATTGGGGTAACTGAGATCGATTGGGTTGTTGTGATAAGCCTCAGATTAGCTGCATTGAAGCTATCTTGATTGGTCGGAAAAGTCCTCCAACTTTATGTGTTCAAAAACAACTGTATGTTGACCTTTTTGTTTACCATGGTTCTAGTGAGTGAATAATATCATGCTAAATAAGAAATTTTGACCTTATCTTCAAAACTGCTGTATTTACACACAAATAACATGTTGCTTGTATGTGTGACTGATGGATGAGAAAGCACGAAATGGTACTACTATCTCACAAAATATGTCTTCTCATTTCTCTGTTCAAATTTATCAAATGGAACAACTGTTTTTAATAAAATAAAAAATTACTTTTCAGTTCAATTATTCTCATTCCCATTTTGTTGAAAATTTTTCACTGATATCATCATCATCATCATCATCATGATCATCACCCTTATGACTATCATGAGATTATCATTATTTTCAATTTTTTAAAATTCAAAAAAGCAGAGAAACTCCGAAATAATTTAATTTAATTTAATCTTTTTTTTTCTTACTTACTTTAAACATGTGAGCTTCATCTTTGAAATCAATAGCATGACTACCATGTTGTTGTAGTATTCGACGTAAATCATTGTAACGTGAATTCGAATGATGTTGTTGACGGGATGATTCTTGCATGGAATCCATAGATTGGATAAGAGTTGACTTATTGATCGATGGTGGTGTTGCGACTGTTGTTGTCACGGTGGTTGTTTCATCTTTCTAGTTATAATTCAGAAAATACAAAAATATAAACAAATAAAAAAAATAATTGAACATTGAAACATTGAATGATTAAAACAAAAAATTTTTGTAAGAATAAAAATTTGTAATGAAATGTTTGTTTGTTTGTTACGAACAAATAGTGGAATGTTCATCAGTCAGGGTGGTTGAGATATGTGTTACATATGTCTAACCAACCAACGATTGCTCTGACGAGCAATGATACCTTGGTTTAAGGATAGAGTGGAAGAGAGCTAGAGTCGGTCAAACCAAAACATATCATAAATCTCTGAAGTCATTGATAACTAGACTGAGCCATGTTAGTAGCTGAAGAATACCAGGTTGGGCTCCTGTAGAATGATAGTAACCGAGACTATGAACGACATAGCTGAAAATCGTATGCAATGACTCAGATGCATCCACTGTTTGCCTTTGCTCATTACTTCATGAGCTGGAAACCTTTTTATGTGTCTTTTTGAATTTATTTCCCTGGATTATACATTTCGAATCGCATATATTCGAACATTAATCTTCTCCATTGCAGCTAATAATACTTCTAGTAGAGCTACCACTATCGGATTTGAATTAACAATTCGATCTCTGTGTGTTAACCCGACCGTAGCTGCTACCTGGACGTGGTGGTCGGGCTTGCCTATCTTTATGACCCAACAGAGCTATACTGGCTGGAACATATGTTCCTGCAGGTCCTACCATGCCAGGTAGGTCGATTGGAGAACGATGAGACTAAAAGTAGCAATTCAAGGTATGAAGGCGAAGTCGTACTGCTGACTGTGATGGAGGGGTGTGACAGCAGTAAGGTGTTTCCCTCGGACAACCCGCATCTGCAGCGATGTTGCCTTCTCACAAGGAAGGAAGGGTTAGAAAAGGTCGACCCTAAAAGTATCACACCTCACCCTACCTCACGGATTTCCGTCTCTGTTGGTAAGGGTGCCCATTAAGGGCCTTTAAGAGCGGAGCTAATACTCAAAAATCCTTTCATAAAAAGGCCGTGCGTGACCAGCCTCAGGCAGTTGTCCCTTGGACTCTGCGGTTACGCTCCCAAGTCTCTACGACCAACACTAATCTATCTTCCTTTTCAGGTTCCTCAAGAAACAACCTTCCACGGTGTGGGCAACCGGGAAGTGACAACCGCCCTCATACACGTAACAGCACACGGGACCAAATTGGTCGGAATCAAATCCTTCCTACACCCACACATACCTCTCTTCTCTCCACAACTAACTCTACTCACATCCCTTTATCTGACTGACTGACTGTGTGTTAATGTGGTATGGCAACTTGAACTGATGTATGCGCACACGAAGTTCTATATTGTAGCTGACTAACTGAATTCCATGGCACTCAGAAACTATCAATAACACATACTGTCAATGTTAAAAGAAGTGATACTTCTCTCTATGGTTAGGAGCTTACATCAATCAACTTTACAGCCAGGAAACAAACGTTTACAACGATTTATCCCAGAGGATGATCTTTTGTAGAAATTTACACTGATCAAAAAAATGAAGCTAGAGATCCAGCTGTGATTACTTCCAATGGACATAAACAGTGCATAATGCTGTCGAATCAATTAGACAGATAGTCATATTTCATATCTGATCGATAGAATTAGATCAGCAGTTTGTACAAGACAAGCACGAAATTCAGTAATATTGATCAGTATGTGCAAAGAAAAAATTCCTATAAAACAAATGAGATTTAAAACGTGACAATAATTGTGACTAAAATAACGAGCTGGTAAACAGATATATCTGGGGAAAAATTTTTTCAAGTTAGAAGTCAGTGAGCAACAGTGTAGCAGTTCTTACGTACGTGCGTACGTACGTGCATCAATTCAACTTGACATACCACATGAGCACACAGAGATGCAATTGTCAATTCAAATCCCATAGTGGTAGAGGTAGTAGAAGTATAAACAGTAATCGGAAAGATTAGGATTTGAAGATATTATTCAAGAAGTATGATCTAGTGAAATAAACTTGAAAATAGCGAAAGATAAAGGACATGAGGAATTCAGTGGAGTACGATTTCAGAGAACACAAACAACAATGGATGTACCTGTGCCACTGCAAACAGTTTTCAGCTGTATCATACAAAATCTCCAAACAGCGGAATACAATTAAAAATTAACAACAAATTTCATTCAAATTCATAACTAAGTAGTTCAATTTAATCATTGTTTTTGTTTTAATTAATTCAAGAAATTTAATTTTGTAAAATAAGCAGTTGATGAATCGAAAGCGTTATTTCAAACCATACTGTTGACAACTCCCCATCTAAACCCCATTGATTTAAGCCTAATTATAATGTTTCGGTTGGGGAGGTCAGATCCTCAGAACTAATTTGATTAAGGTCCTAATTTTGCATTTTTTTTCGTGTTTCCGTGCATAAGCTGCTCGGTTGACCTTGAGATTATATTTCCCACCCAGAAAATCCTTGACTGTTATTGGTTGATGTGTAGTTTTAGTACGCTATTTTTGTGGCTCTGGCAAGAACAGTTTTATAATCTATAAATAAACTCGATTTGTGTGCTTGTCAACCTCATAATTTCTGGGTGCTTGTAGAATACACTTTATTCGTCTCATCAAGACTTCTTTCTCTATTTAGTGAGGATTAGATTATCCTATCGTGTCACTGGATCATTTGTCTTCACTTTCGTTTACCGACTAAGATGAACTCGTAATAGGATTCAAGCATATTAATTGACGACCACATCAGTTTCCAGTTTGGTAAGACAAAAATCATATTGCTTAATCGTATTTTAGAGTAGTTTAAAATCCAATGTTCACGAGATGGTATTTCAGTCAGTCAGTCAGTTGCAACGTAAGAACTTCGTACGTATGTACATAAGTTCATTTTGCCATACCACATTAGCACACAGACGCAAATGTCAAATCAAATCCCATAGTGATGAAGATAGTAGGGGTTTTGATGGTAATGAAGAAGACTACGGTTTGAAGAGATTATTCAAGAAGTATAATTCAGTGAGATAAGGTTAGAAAGACAAAGGTAGAAGTGCTGACGAACCCAGAAGATTAGGATTTGAGAGAGCTCAAAGAATGGATGCACTTGCGCCATCGCAAACGATTTTGAGCCATGTCGTTTAAGGTCTCTAACCATTGGTGACTTTCGTCTCGCGGACCCCAACCAGATAGTCTACATCTACCAACATGATTCAGTCCACTTGTCGGTGATTTCATGGATTTGTGCCATGTTTTGGTCTGGCCGCCTCTAGCTTTCTTCCAGTCTACTCCTACACCACAAAACATAGCTCGTCGCGGCAGTCGGTGGTTAGCCATACGTAACACATGTCCCAACCACCACGAGATGGTATTTAGAAAATAATGATTTACTTAAAAATCTTTCCTTTGATATACTAATTTGAAATGCTTTAGATAATTCCATTGTTGATAGATTTTGACTGGAATTTATTTAAGTCGTTAATTGGCAATATAGACATCCTAAGTGAATTGCTTCGATATAGCCACAATCATACAAATTTAAATTAGAACAGATAGAATGTGGCTAGTGATGGAATCAAGAACAGATGCGTTTGGTCCTATTTGAGACTCATCCATAGTTGGATGTACCAGTCACATTCTAGAATTGATTTTCACTCCTGAATTCTAACTCAAACGTTATCGCATTATTTACTTAGTGTTAAAGATCACATCAACTCTGCAATGCAAGATGAAACGCGCGTCCTGGATTCCATCGGTCAATCATATTCCATCGATATTATAAAAAACATGTGTCATAATATCTATCTATCTATCTATCTATCACAACAATCCCTACAGAATGTCCATTTATATCAATGAAAACTAATCACCATCCTAGTCATAACTATGTATGCATATATAAAAATAACAATGAATATTTACATTATCTGACTCTGTGACTGTTTGAGCAGTTTGTGTATTGCCAAAATTACGAAAGGATAATAGACGTGAAAAGAAACCGCCGCCACCTCCTCCTGCTATTCGTAGGTTAGTATTATTTGAATCTTTATTGGTACCCGTTGTGGATGTTGATGGATGAGAAGATGATTTTGGTGAATGTGTTGAAGGATCTGATTGATGAACAGTAGATGTTGTTTGGATATTATTTGCGGAATAAGTGGATAACTTGATAATCAAAGAGAGAAAAATTAAAGTAAAAATATAAATAGGTAAATTAAATAAAATTAAATTCAAGGAAAATGTAGTGTCTTTCTCCTTGGAATGAACATTAACTTAAGAATCTAGATAGACCAACTCCGCTCGCATGACCGTAGCTGCTAACTTGATGTGATGGTCGGGCTTGCCTATCGTGATGACCTAACCGAGTTATATAGGCTGAAACATATGTTCCTGTAGGTTCTACCATGCCAGGCAGGTCGACTGGAGAATAGTAAGATTGAAAGCGGTAACTCAAGGTCGCAGGGTTAAGTCGTACTGCTAACTGTAGAGGGGTGTGACAGCAGTAAGGTGTTTCTCTCGGACAACTAGTATCTGCAGTGATGCTGTCTTCGCACAAGCAAGGAAGAGGTCGACCTTAAAAATGTAACAACTCACCTTACCTCATGGATTCCCGTCTCCCACGGTAAGGGCTTTTAAAAAGAGCGGAGCAAACACTTCAAAAATATTACAGACAAAGTTCGTGCGTGACCGGCCTCGATTGGTTGTCCCTTGAACTCTGTGGTCACGCTCACAGGTCTCCAAGACCAATACTAATCTGCCTTGGTTTTCAGGTCCTTTAAGAAGCATCCTTCCACTGTGTGGGTAGCTGGGAAGTGACATCCGCCATCATACCCGTACCAGAACACGAGACCGAAGTGATCACAATCAAATCATGCCCCACCCCGCTGATGAGTCTCAAACAGGATGAATTGTATGTCTTAAATTTTAATTTTTTATGAAAAAATTTTATTTCTACTTCAGTCAGTCAGCTACAACGTAGAACTTCGTATGTACATAAGTGCGTCAGTTCAAGTTGTCCTACTATATTAGCACACAGAGATCAGATTGTTGATTGCAATCCGAGAGTGGTAGAGGTAGTAGAAGTATGAGCAGGAATAAGAAAGTTTAGGGATCGAAGATATAATTCACGAACTATAGTCCATTACCTAATACCCTTCTCCTAACAGCAGTATTGCTTACTCTATTGTACCAAGATTTATGAGCAATGCTTTGGAGACACCTATGATCATGTTGGTGGTGTTTGGTTCTCTGAGCTGGATGTTTTGGTTGTGGAGCTTTCATTGTTCTTCTACTGAACAACATCATCAGTACAAACTTCAGACAGAAGTGAAGCATTCGAATTTCTCGACGTTTGACCTGTAGCTTGTTCTGCTAACCTCAATCTTCATTGGTTGCTGCTGACCTTAAACCTGTGGTTGTTTTCACCTTTGTTTTGATTCTATTCCCCTTTCGATCTATTTCTTGATCCTATGTCACCTATGCAATCAAGGGTTATGGAACATGTACCTAAGTGGATTCAAAATCAGTTAACGTCAGATGAGCCGATTAGCGTTGGAAATAGAAAACCATGTTCATCGATTGCAAAACACATAATTGAGACAGGGCATAAGATTGACATCAAGACAGCCTTTAAAACACTGGATAGAAATGTTGAAGAACGAATTCTGAGGTTTATGGAGGCCTTGGCTATTAGAGAATTAAAAACTCCCCTTATGTGTGCAGAAACAATTTGTCATAACTTTGAGTTTACCTCGGTAATCTTTAAGCCTAGGGTAATGTGACAATTTTCCTACCCCTTCTTATTCTTTTCATATTACGGTAATTTTCTCTCTCCTTTATTTACAATTATCACCCTATGTCTATTTGAACTTTTATTTAGTTGACCTTCTATTCATCTTCACATAAAATGCCTTGACAAGTAAATATGTGTGACCAGATTGTTCGAAATGTATAGCGCAAATACATCACAATATTTTTCAGATCAATTACGTCTTCTCACTGTTCTATCAAAATTTATAAAAGGGACTAATTGTTTTAAACCTATGATTTTCCTGATTGGTTGATAAATCGGGTCAATGTCGATGTGTTTGTTGATTGCTGATTGAACTGAGTGCCAAGCTTCTAAAAATTCTTTAGCGTTCTTTATCCTCCCCCTACCCAGTATTTCCACATTGTTCCAATCAAATGTATGTCCATAACTGTCGGTGTGTATTGATATAAGCGAAGCGTTGTCGTGGCGTTTGACTGTTAATTGCTGTTCACGTAAACGAAGCTGAAGAGGCCTTCCACTTTGTCCACTTCGAATGCTTTACTTCTATATGAAGCTTGTGCTGATGATGTTGTTCAGTAGAAGAACAATGAAAGCTCCGCAACCAGAACATCCAGCTCAAAGAACCAAACACCACCACCACCACAATCATCCACCTGAGCTACAAATCTTCTCCACCATCTCAACACCTATGATCGAATTCTAGCGACATACAAATATCCTTGCTTCTTATTCTCCATGTTTCAGATAAGGATGAAGGCGGATACTTGACTATGCCATCAGTGTTGTACGTTGGTAGAAGCCAGTCGAGCCTTCTGTATACGTGCCGATATTTCATCAAACACCAAATTATCGGCACTGATGAAGCTTTGAAGAAAACTGAAACAGTCAACAGACAACTTCTGGACCGTGTATTAAATTTATTTTAACTCATTATAAAGGTGAACTCAATGCCTTTCAGTGATGGCATTTAAGAAACACATGGGGAATTATCATAATTTCAAGTACTCCAACAGAATGACTGTGGTTGTTCAAATAGTTTACACTTAATTTAGCCTACTGACGAACCTGGAATTCAACCATCCAACATACCGACAGACAGTTATAAATTGACTTTTAATGAAGATGAATAGGAAACGTTGATTGTTGTAGAAATATTCATAAGAAAATATTTTCAAATAATTCGAACCTTTGTACACATTTAAATGATGAATGAGTCATTGTCAGACCACCATTAGAAACCTGGAAGAAGTACTGGACTGTCGTTCTGTCCTGGTATGAGAAGCATCATCTGTGCGCATCCATAACTCTTGCTACTCACAGGATTAAAAACCCAAGACCTTACGTCTTGTACGCGTACGTTCAAGCTCTGAACCACTGAGCCTGCATTCAAGGGTGTTATTGTCTGACTCTGATCGATCTAAGGATTTCGAGCAACTTCATCCCATGTCTTCGGTAGTTACTGCCTACAACCGACAGGGGTCGAAATCCACCGGTCAGGTCTGCTCACTAGAACCCCGAGAATTTCCTCAAGAAGTTAAGTCCCTAGTGTGCAAATCTTTTGATTTTGCATTTTAATATTATAAAGATCGCTGTTTTACATTGAAATAATGCGCAGTGACGATGAGTCCCATACCAGAACAAAACAGCCGTCCAGTGCTTCCAGGTTACTAATAATGGTCTGACACTGTGTTCCTTCATCATTTCAATGTGTAAAAATCAATGATCTGCTTAATTCTGTAATACAATTTGAATGTTGACAATCATTTATTCAAACAAACTTTTATTCAAGGTTCAATACAATCAAGTTCTTCTACGCTGTAAATCGACTTCTATCGATTATGAAGTAACCACTCAACTTATAATTTATGAGTTCACATCTCAAAAGAATAAAGCATACAAACCAACGAACAAAAAGCAACAAATAAAACTCACTGTTTCCAATGTTGAATTGCGCAACGTTGAACATTGATCACTTGTCAATTTGTCAATATTCAATAATTTGTTGTTATTATTATTATTATTATTATTCTGATTCCTATTATTGTTGATCCGTTTACGTAGTCTTCGTTCACTTTGTATGCCTTCATCATCTTCATCTTCATCATCGTCATCATCATCATCAACAGTAGAATCGATTGTTTCATCTTTGATATAATATGACGGAGAAGAAGAAGAACAAGCCGACGATGCTGATGATGATGAGGAGGATGATCTGGTTAAATGTGTTTTATTTGTACTACTCATAATGTTCGAATTAGTAGTATCAGTAGTAGTAGTATTGAGCCATTTTTCTAAATTATCATGTTCCCCATGTTGTACAATAGTATGGCAAGTATCAAAATATGCTTGTAATGAATCGACTTGTTTGCATAATATCTCTCTACCAATGCGCATGTATATGGGGTTTGTGCATAAAGATTGACATTGAGAGAATTGTGGATGTACAATGAGGTGAATTTTGATTTTGTCCAGTATTCATGTGTGTGTGCAAATAAACAGGATAAAAAAAATGAGTACCTTTTAAATTCAGAAATAAGAATAATTTATGAAGAATACAGTGTAGCATAAAGATGCTTAGGGATCAAGTAGAAATTCATGACCTTGAGTTAGTGTACTTAAAAATCTTGATCAAAATTAGACATTAACACGCTTAGATGCCAGACGGCTCAGTGGTCTAAAGGTTAAGCCTTCACGTGCAAGACCAAAAGTTCTGGGGGGATGCACAATGCCACTGATGAGTAGTCCCATACTGTTATGCTCGTCATCTGATATGCTTGAATGCTGTTACGAGTTCACCTTACCCGGTAAACGAGAGTGAAGACAAATGATCCAGTGACACGATAGGATACTCTAATCCAAGCGTCCCAACGCGTCACTAAATAAAAGAATAAGTCTTGACACAATGTAGAAAGTGTATTTGACAGGCACCCAGAAAATATGAGGTTGACAAGCACATAAATCAAGATTATTTATACATGGTAGAAACGTCCTAGCGAGCGCCACAAAATAATTAGCATACTAAAATAATACATCAACCAATAACAGCCGAGGGTTTTCCAAATGGGAAATGTAATCTCAAGGTCAACTAAACAGCTTATGCGCGAAAAAACAAAATCAGGAAGTTTTCCAACTGGGTTCAGGGGATCTTACGTCCTCGAAACATACCAGGACGAAATGGTTGTCCAGAGTTTCCAGGTTTCTAATGTGGTAGTCGAACAACATTGATCGATTCATTATTTCAAAAAGTAACTCAGCAATCTCCACAACCTCATAATACTAAAGTATATATTAATCATAAAGAATACTGTCAGTTTTGAATGGTCGTTGGTTTTCTTGGAAATTTAGTTTCTATTGCTTATAACTCTTGGGTTTTACAGAAATTCCGTCTAATATGTCATCTCATCAAATGGGTTTATGGATATATATGAGACTTTGGGGTGCGGAAGCTAGTGATGATCCAGTGTGGTCATCCAAAGTCTAATATAAATGAGGTGAGTTTTAGCCCTGATAGGAGAAAGTTAGATTACTTACTTCCTTACGCCTGTATCTCCCGATGGAACAGAGAATTATTTTTCTGGTTAGCGTCTTTTCAGTGAATTGGATTTCTACGGGATGGGGTTGCTAACCCCATGCAGTGCGCATCCACAACTTCCGCACACAGGAATCCAACCGAAGGCCTTCGGTCTAGCGTGTAAACGCTTAACCACTAGACCACTAAGCCAGCATCTACTGGTGTTATTGTCTAACTTTAATCAATTCAATTTCTTGCGCAACCTCATCCATTGGCTTTGATGATTAACTCTGCCTCACACCCAACAGGACTGAACTCCACTGGTCACGACTTCCAGGTTTCTAATGATAGTCTAACAATGATTGATTCATGATTTCATATACTACAGTGTTTTTTTTGTCTACCACTTTGTGGTTACTGTCACTCCCAAAGGAGGAAGAGTTGGCGATCAGAACGATGTGTTTGCTACCGATTTGGTCTCCAGTGCTGTTACGGGTATGAGGGCGGCTGTCACTTCCCAGCTGCCCACACCATGGAAGGGTGTTTCTTGAGGAACCTAAAAAGAAACGTAGATTAGTGTTGGCCTTGGAGACCTGGGTGCGTGACCGCAGAGCCCAAAGGACAACTACTTGAGGCCGACTAGACACAGCCTTTTTATGAAACGTTTTTTGAACAGTAGCTCCGCTCTTTTCAAAATCCCTTATTGGGCAGCCCTTACCGACGGAGACGAAAATCCGTTAAGTAAGGTGAAGCATGACACTTTTATGGTCGACCTTTTCTAACCCTTCCTTCCTTGTGAGAACGCAGCATCACTGCAGGTGCTGGTTATCCAAATGAAACGCCTTACTGCTGTCTCATCCTTCAACAGTCAGTAAGTACGACTCAACCCTCAGACCCTAAGTGACTGCTTTTACTCTTATCGTTCTGCAATCGACCTGCGTGGCATTGTAGAACCTACAGGAACATATGTTCCAACCAAAATAGCTCTGTTAGGTCATCACGATCGGCAAGCCAAACCACCATATCAAGGTAACAGCTACGGTCGGGGATGGGATTGTTTGGCGACCCCCTCCTCCTGTAGATAATCAACTTGTTCAAAAGAAGAAAACGATCACTAACGCCAACACTATCATTCACATTTGTAATCAATTATTGCTTGTTCATTATTTCGATGATTCAGCTGATAATGACAATTATCAATCATCTGATCTTTTTTTTTTCAAGCTCACATTTATACTTTAATTACACTGACTAGTTTGAAACGAATTTATATTATCTATCTATATGATAGCTTGCTTTATTCAAACCATTACATATATTATATATATATATATATATATATATATATATATATATATATATATATATATATATATATCAGCCAAGTACACTAGCAAGTTCAAACATGTTCGGATAATACACTGGCTGATCTGAGTTATAAAAACATGAAGGCTAGTTAAATTTCTCAGATGATAGATAAATAAACAGTCAATGATTCAAAGTTTTATGTATAAATATATAGTTTTATTTAAACACACCAAGATTGATACAAAGAGGCGCCTAACACAAATTATTAAATTTTTGGGTGAGCTCAATGAGGAGATGTTCTGTCGTTTCACATGGAAGGACTACACTTCAAGCGTTTGATGTACAAGTTAAATCCACAAGGTAATAGACAAACGTCATGTGGTGCAGTCACAAACAATAAGTTTATATGCCATTAGTTCTGTCACCATCATCATCATCATCATGGAGATCATGTTCATTATGGGTTTGGAATAAGAGTTTTCCAACTCTACTTAGTTGATCCTTGTTAGGTTCATCACTAAGTATGCTTGAAACTATTACGGTTTCACCTTAGTCGATAAACTAGAGCTAGACAATGAATCAGCGTCCAGGTAGGCTACTTTGAATCCCAACTGATCAGCCTATGCTCGCAAACGTGAAATCCGAAATAAGGCATTTTCGAACAAGTTCTGGGGAATTAAACGTCCCCAACAATCCTCTGTACCTAGTAAACAACCGATCAGACATTCGCCTTTTGTTTTGTTGATTTCGTTAACAGCATCGCTTCTTGCCAAGACAAATCAGTGAGTAAGACTTTAATGGCAGTGGCTATATGCTTACGGCCATACGAAATCATTTGAAAGAAGAGAGATTACGGACTTTCCTCACCCGCGTCCATACCAAGGGGCATTTAGGGGCTTCCATTAGTGTTACACAACATTGTTTCATCATTAAGATACGGATTTTTCAAATAAAAAAATACGTTTGGAAATTGATTATGTGGGGGATGTTAAATCCCCAAACCTCGCTTCATAAAGGCTTTATTTTGGTTTTCACGTTTGCCAGCATGGGCTGATCAGTTGACCTTGAGATTTCAATTCCAACCAGGAAAATCCATGGCTGTGATTGGCTGCTGTGTATTTTAGTGTGCCATTTTCTTAACTGTCTCAAGGACGTTTCTATGTTGTGTAAATAAACGAAAGTTGTATGCTTGATTGTACTGTGATTGCTGGGTGTTGGTAGAATTTACTTTCTACGCTTACAAAACCCTTTTTACTTCAGCATCGGATTCAAGATAGCCTACCTGACGAACCTTACAGATTAGATAACTGCTTTCTGTATAAATATTATTTATTAGCTTTGATGTATTTATTAAAAAGCTGAGTTATACAAAATAATAATGACACAAATAGACATTGCCATGTATAAGAGTAATATTATCTAATTAAATTTGAGATGAATGTAAAGTTTATCTCTACATTTGCTTGTTTTGATTTGCTAAGAACATATTTATTCAACAATCATAAAATTTCATTTTCGAATTAGCCAATGTTTATACTCTTTACTAGCTTCTACTCCCGATTGTATCTGTTACCTTGATGTGGTGGTCAAGCTTGCATATCGTGATGACCCGACCAAGCTTTATTGGTACGGACATATGTTCCATGCCGGACAGGTGGATTGAAGAACCGTGAAACTAAAAAAGATAGCTGAAGGTTTGAGGGCGAAATCGTACTGCTGATTGTAGAGAGATTTGATAGCAGTATGATGTTTCTCTCGGACAACCAGCATCAGCGACGATGCTACCTTCTAACAACGAAACGAAGGGGTTGGAAAGTGTTACACCTCACTCACACGCACAGATTTTGATCTCCGAAGTTAAGACCTTCTGAAAAGCAGAGCTAACATTTCTAAAACCTCCCATAAAAAGGCCCTGCGAGACGAGCCTCAAGCGATAGTTCTTTGCGCACTGCAATCACCTCCTCAGGTCGTTGAGACCAACCCTAATCCAATTTCCTTCACATGACCTTCAATGACATATTCAAGGACAATAACGACCAATCAAGTTTGAGGTCAACAGGACAAGTTACATGTCATACGTGAGCGAATTTCGAACACTTCACTTCATCTACCTGATGATTGTACTGAAGATGATGTTGTTCAGGGTGAACAATAAAAAGCTTTACACTCACAACCAAAATATCATTCAGCTCAAAGAACAACACTCCATCATCATAGTTATCCATCTGAGCAATGAAAATTTTCTCTTTTTTCTCTCCTATTTTTCAATAAATTTTGCAAAATAATAAAAATTTCCATTTATGTTAGCAAAATCTACTAATTAGAACAACACATATGAGCCAACAATAGTGTTGTTTTCGATTAGATCGTCATCAGGCTGTTTACTCTCTAATATACATGAATATTTATGTATGAAAATGTGAAACCAATCAAGGCAATTTGAGTGATAATCAAAATGAAATGAAAAAGATTACGTCACTACATATAATAGGCAAAAGTACAAGTGGATAGTAGGAAGACAGGTGTACTGATAGTAGTAAGATATTATCAATAATAGGTCAAAGGTGGATGAATAGACTTCAAATAATCACTAAAAACATCAAAACCATTACGTAATAAGCGAATATGTAAAAATAAAAATAAAATAAGATAAAAAATATATATAATGTCAAGCGTTAGTTACGTTATATCCGGCCACGGAAGAGATAGGGGTGTCACGAATTTCTTCTGAACACATAAATTGGGGTTGAATGTACGAATCCCAATGGCTTCTGCTATGTGTAAGAGACGAGATCGAACTCTGTTAGGAGATGGTGGAGGTAAACGATAGATCACCTGAAAAGATCTAGACTTATCTACAATATTGACCACTATCAACCAAGTGTGCTAAGATAGAACTGCGTATTATTTTTAACTGACCCTTCTTAAACCATGCTGGGAGATGTTCACTCATTCGTTGGTTAAGTTGCCTAGTTGTACGCCCGACGTAGATATCTCCACAGAAGCAGCTGAATTTGTAAATGAACATAGAGGAGGCCAACTCATGTAACTTATCCTTCGTTTGGGTAGACATCACTGGTAGACTTGAGAAGGTCAACGCAGGTTTGGCTGCATTGATCTAATCGAAAACAATATTGTTCGCTTATATGTGTTGTTCTAATTTTCACAATGGGAATCTTTAATACTGTTAAATCTACTAATGATAATTTTAAGATCAGTCAGTCGGTCAGCTACAATGAAGAACTTCATAGGTACGTACATCAGTTTAAGTTGCCATACCGTATTAGCACACAGAGATGTAATTGTCACTTCAAATCCCGTAGTGGTAGGCACAGTAGAAGTACTAGCGGTAATGGCGAAGATTAAGGTTCGAAGATATTATTCAAGAAGTATAATTCAGTGAAATAAGCTCAAAAGAAAATAGATAAGCGGTCATAAGGAATTCAAAAGATTAGACTTCAAGAAAACATAAAGAATGGATGAGCCTACTCCACTGCGAACGAAATTTCAGCCATATCATTCAAGGTCTTTAAACACCTGTTACGATTTTCTCGTGGACCACAACCTGACAGTCTAAACCTAGTTGTCAAGGGCTTGATAGATTTGTGCCATATTTTGGTCTGGCCACCCCTAACTTTCTTCCAACCTAATCCTACACTACAAAACATAGCTCGATGAGGCATTCGGTGGTTAAGCATTCGTAACACATGTCCCAACAATTCATCAGTCGATCTGCCATCCTTACTTAGTACCCATTTTCTAACAACAGCATTGCGTAGTCGGTTTTCCCATGATACACGAGCAACGCTTCGAAGACACCTGTGATAGAAAACCATTGACCTACGAATATCTTTTACTCTGACTGGCCATGTTTCACAGCCATACAGTAGGACAGAGCGAACTGACGCGAAGTATATTCGTCCTTTAGTGAGCAAACGGATATCTCGCCTGTGCTATAAATGACGCAGTTTGGAAAAGGCCAGTCGAGCCCTCTATATCCGTGCTGAGATCTTGTCAGTCACCAGACTATCAGCACCGGTAGAGACTCCCAAGATAAGTGGAATAATTTTCAAGTTACTGAAATTTACTGATGTTTAAGAACAAGTATATTCCATTATTTTGTTTGATAATATATGAGAAAAATTTTTAAAACAATCAACTTAAAAGCATCAGCAAAATGATTAAGTGTACGCTAAACTATTTCTGGAGATCGTTGTTTCTACACATTAAAATCATAAATAAATCAATGTTAGACCACTATTAGACAAAACCTAAAAGTATTACTGGACGACCGCCGTTTCATCCGAGTATGATACTGATAGTTTGGATATTTATCCAATATCCTAAGAGAATTACTGGTCAATTCCTATTGGTTAATTCCTACTGTTCAATTTTATGATCGTCCTAGATATCAATGTCACGTGCTCCAATGTTGTTTCTTATTGGTTGTCCTGACTGTCAATGTCACTTCAAACGTTGCTGCCTATTGGTCGTCTTAACTGTCAATGTCACAGACTTCGATACTGTTTCCTATTCGACCAAAATGTATATATATGCATGATCTGTAAAGTTTTATGACCAGGACCAAGACCCTGTCCCGGATCCCTTTCTGGATGTTTGTAGAATACAGGTTCTACTTCATATCAAGTCTTCTTATTTTTTACTGAATATGGGGGTTGGAATAATCGGATTTGAGTAACATGTCGTGTCGCCGGATCCTCAGTTCTCGCTCTCATTTTCCAACTAGGTAAACTCGTAATAATCGTTCAAGTATATCAGTTTGACGTGTTTACGTGTAGGCGTAACAAATATATATATGACTCATCAGCAGCACTATACATCCACACGACTGCAACTACTGGGAGCAATCGAACCTAGGGATCTCCGATCTTGCACGCGCGAACACGTCTAACCTCCGACCTAGAATCCATCAGAACTAATGTCTAAGGATTATTATTATTATTATTATTATTATTATTATTATTATTACTGTTAAGTTAAGTAATAACCAAGCGATGAATACAAGAAATGAGGAAGTCATTGAAATTAATTCCGTGGCAAAATCAATAATCATAAGAATAATAATCATAATCACAAACAAATTATTGTCTTTTTTTTGAAAAGAAATAAAACGAAAACACTCCATTGTAAATGAAATTATATTTTTGATAAAAATAAAACTAGAAAACAATTCATTATTATTAAACTAAAAATGGTGTGCACTCGCACGCACACACATACGCGCGCGCGCGCTCAAATGTCATGGTAACCAATGGGTATCAATAAAAACAAGATAAACAAACAAACGAAAGAATGGTTGAATAGAGGATAATAAAACAATATATTCTTACTTGCTTATTTATTTAATCTACTGTGTATGCATAGTTATTTACCAAAATAAAGCTGAAAGCCCTGATAAATTCTATTTTATTAACACATAAAGAATAATTTTCATTGATAGAAGTCAACAGATACTGTGGTGCGAGCTACTTATAAGTAGTATATGACGTGAGTGTCAACGTAATGTCTGGCAACAGAAGATGGGGGAAGATCGAGAGAAAGGAAGAGTTAGAACACAATGGAATTTGTATGAAACGCATGAATAGTAGTGACAATCGATTGATGTTTTGCAACAGGAACAGTCCAGTTCGATATGATGAACAGATATTTTGCAAATGAACGATTTACGATATGGTTTTGCGATTTTACTGAGTAACTCTGTAATTTTCGTTGAATACAATTCGGTTGCCCCACCTGTGTTCTCGTTCACTACACTACCAGTGAAGTGCTTCTCTATCTATCTGTATCGGATATGAGGCACTGGTTACGCAGAGAAGACAATGAATGGAGGTTACACAATACCTTTTAGATTGATTAAAATTAGACATGAACACAACTCGATGTTGACTTAATGATTTAGAGGTTTAAAAACACCGGCGCGCAAGAAACCGATGTTCTTGGGTTTGATTGTCTCTTGCAGAGGTCATATAAATGCACAATGCCACTGATGAGCAGTCGAATACTAAGGACAAAAAACGCTGTGGTAATGCTTTCAGGTTTGTAATGTGGTGGTGACGATAATTGTCTCACAATGATTGATAATCATAACAGTAATTGTTCATGTTAGGATATTCACTAAAAATCCTAAGAGTATTATTTTTGGAAGTATAATCCTATTGTGGGGCAGAGTTTTGGAGGTTTGCGTTTTTACACATTCGAAATCATCAATCAATGATTGTAAGACCACCATTAGAAACCTGCAAGCACTGGACGGCTGTTTCGTCCTGGTATGGGACTACTCATCAGCAGTGCGCATCCACGACTCCTGCTCCTCGCAGGATTCGAACTCGGGACCTTCGGTATTGTAGGCGAATGCCTAACCATCGGACCACTGAGCCGGTATCCAACGGTGTTAATGTCTAACTCTGATTGATCGAGGGATTTTGCGCAACCTCACCCATTTGTCTTTGGTAGTTACTGCCTACACCCGACAGGGTTGAACTCCATTAGTCACGTCTTCTCAACTAGAACTCCGAGAATTTCCTCACGAAGCTAGTCACTAGTGAGCAGGATTCGAACCCGGGACCTTCGGTATTGTAGGCGAACGCCTTACCAGCGGATCACTGGTCAAATACTTCAATGTTGTCTCTTATTGGTCATCCGGACTGTCAATGTCATTTCAAGTGTTCTTTCCTATTGGTCGTCCTAAACTGTCAATAATGTCACAGACTTTGATGCTCTTTCCTATTCGACCTTAATGTATAAATACGCACTATCTGTAAGCCTTCATGATTCGGATTCCTACTTCGTTTCTTCCTGCCTGTCTCTCTTCTGTACTCGACCCAATAAACAACTCCATCCCACAGTGTTGCGTTCTGATATATATATATAGGAGATTTGGAAATAGCATTTTGAGTCGTATTGGGATATTTGAATTGGACGCCGCGTTACAACAGTTCAATAAAACAAACTAAATTAATTAACTCACTTAAATGTTTCCATTTCAGTTAATTTCTCTTTAAGTCCATAATGATGACGTTTAAAACTAGATGTTGTTGAATGTATACTAGGACTGTAAGTTGAATTCAATGACAACAATGAACCATGATGATGATGATGGGGAGGAGGTAGAGTTTTCTCTGATTCATAACCTGATTCAACAAGACGATGTTGTTCCATTGCCGTGATCCATGCATAACGTTCATTTTGATTTAATCCACGTAAATACCAGATTACATCACCAACACGTACCTAATTGATTAGAATGGTTTGTAGAAGAGAAAAACGAAAGAAGAAGAAGAAGGTTTCAATGTTGAAATAGGGAATCAATCAATCATTGTTATTAGACCAGGCACTAGAAACTTGGAAACATTGGATGGTCGGTATAACCTAGTATGGAACACATCAGCAGTACGCTTCAAAGACTCCCGCTGGCGGGAATCGAATACTTATGTATGTTAGTAAAAACTATAATCTAGTCAAAGTGAGTCACATCATTTCCACTTACATTATAAGTAAACAATACATTTTCGTCGCCCCTCGTGGAGATCGAACCCAAGATCTTCAGTCTGCCGCATGAAGGTTTATACTGTAGACCGCCTAGCCCGTCAATTTAAGGATTAATCTAATTTATTAATGAAGAGGGATTTGGGGAGATTGTATTATTGCCATGGAAACCTGAAAGTATTCGGATAGCCGGTTTTTCTCAGTTTGGAACTCTTCTGCATGCAGGAATCGAACTTAGGACCTTCAGTCCCGCAAATGAATCCTTAACTTCTAGACTACTAAGTCAACATCGACTGGTGTTAATGTTTAACGTTAATCAATCCATGATCTTGAACAACTTTTATTTCAACTGGGAAAACAATATAATCTCCATAAATCCTCTTCATTAGTTATAATCATACAGTCACTTGTAACTGGATTCAAGATGGATTTCTGGAGTCAGAGTCAGATAAGAAACAGTTATCTGCTGAAGGCAATGATAGAAGGTTGTACGACACTATGGATTGACTGAAGTTAGGCACTGACACCACTGGATGCCGTCTCAGTGATCGAGATGTTAAGCATGCGTAACCGGGTCATCAATCTGCGATGTTGAAGAGTCCCATACTAGGACGAAACGGCAGTTCAGTGTATTAAGATCTATAATAGTGTACTAGCTAAGATCAGTGCGTGATTTCAACTATGAAACTAAACTCTAATTCATTTTCTATAGAGTTTATAACTCTTTTAGTTTGCATAAGAAGTACTAACACTATGTTAAGCTATTAATGTGCTACCAGTGTCATTACTAGTGACTAGCTTCGTGAGGAAATTCTCGGAGTTCTAGTGAGAAGACGTGACGAGTGGAGTTTAACCCTGTCGGGTGTAGGTAGTATCTACTGAAGACAATGGGTGAGGTTGCTCAAAATTCTTAGATTGATCAGAGTTAGACATCAACACCGTTGGATGCCGGTCCTAGGTTCGAATCCCGCAAGGTGCAGGAATCGTGGATGTGCACTGTTGATGAGTCCTACGCCGAGACGAAACGGCTGTCCAATGCTTCCAAGTTACTAATGGTGGTTTAACATTGATCAATTCATGATTTCAACGTTTTATTATTGGTCACTATATTTACTTAGTTATTTTATTTAAATAAGCATATCATAACCAATAATCAATAAATTCATATTTGAAATTTATTCAAGTTTCATGATAAATTTCTGAAATACAAATACAGCGGTTTTATTACTTTTTTTCACAAAAAATACAATCTCAGTCAGCTACAATGCAGAACGCCATATGTACATCACTTCAAAATGTCATATCACACATTAGCACAAGGAGATGAAATTGTCTATTGAAATCGCACACTAGTAGAAATTATACCAGTATTAGGGATAATCGTCAGTTAGTCAGTCAGTCAGTTACACCTTAGAACTTCGTAAGTACGCAGATCATTTCAAGTTGCCATACCACAATTAGCATAGAGATGCAATTTTCAGTTTAAACCCTATAGTGGTAAATGTAGTAGAAGTATTATATCAGTAATCGGAGCAATTTAGGTTTGAGGATATTTTTTCAAGAAGTAGAATCTAGTGAAATAAGATTAAAAAGAGAAAGATGATGAAGAATTTAGAAGGTTAAGATTTGACAGAACACAAAGAATGGCTGCACCTGCGCCGCACCTGATCTTGCGACCTATGCTTCACTAGAGAAAAGAGGCGTCAGTGAGTGTCTTTTTTGTCTAATCTAATGAGAATCTACATATAGTTTTTAAGTTGAGAATCAATTTAAGAATACACTTGCTCAACTCTTGTTCGCTGCATAGTATATTTGTTAAATAAGATATTGTATAGTTTTTATGTCTTTGCTGTGCACTGCTGTGGTGGATAGGATACACATTACGGAAAGCACCCAACTGCGTCACAAGACAAGCCCTCACTTGAGACCAAAAAACACAATGAGCCAAGAAATGGAGATAGATACGAGAAGAATGAACAAACATTGGCCAGAACTGGAAACGGAAGCCCAGGACAAAGTAGGTTGGAGAATACTGGTCGGTGGTCTATGCTCTATTGGGTGTAACAGGCATAAGTACGTATGTAAGTTGCACGCATGGATCCTAATGTGTTGACACCTTGTTTTACCAGAAGATATATGGAGAGGAAGATATGAGTGAAATAGATGCCTGGTATACGGTAAGATAACACTTGTCAGAAGTTTGCAAGTTTTTTTTTAATGTCTATTCACAACCATACTGTTAATGACTTTAAAAGACTCATTACAAACCACACTAACCATTTTTAGCACTCTCTGCAACACAGAAAAATTCTCTCCTAAAATTCCAGGAAATCAGTAATTGAGAATAGCAAAAGTTAGTAACTAATATGTAAGAGTTGGACAAAGCATAAAAGTTAATGTACAGTAATGCTGAAAGTATGTAATCTCTTTATGCAATACATCTAAAGGAAAACTTTCTTCCATATGGATTTTGCAATGATTCAAACATCATCAGATTGCAATAAGGTGTTTAAGTCCTGTTCATATCTCAAGTTAAAATTAACAGCTTGACATGTAAGAAAATCAGTTGTGAGATTAATGGCAATAGATCATTGTTCAATGAGAGATAAAAGCTCATCAAACCATAAAGTTACAATGAAAATTATTTGCAATTATTCAGTAAAGAATATCAGTGTTACGCAATAATTCTGATAAGTTTAATTGTTGGTTTGTCTTATTTAAACACACAAAAATTGATACAGAGAGGCACCTTAATACTTATGTACCGCATATATTTAATAGTTTGTGTGGGCTGGCTGAGATACTGTTCTGCTGCCTAAAGCGAAGCAGATGGCCTTCTTAGGGGGCTACTCTACGAGCCTTTAATCTAATGGTCTAATCCACAAGACAATGGAGCAAATGTCGAAAAATACAGTCTTACTGAAGTCAGTATCCAACAGCCAATTTTTACAAGCCATTCGTACCATCAACATTTTAGAGCCTATGTGCACCAATTATTTGGAATCAAGGTATTCTAAATGCCATAGATGGATCCTTCATACCCACTAACCTAGTTAAAGCACCGAACACTCACTTTCCATCCTGTCAATCTCATAAACAACACCTGTGTCACGAGAAAGCAATGAGTAGGATTTTCCTGACAAAGGTTATATACACATGAACATCTGAAAGTATTAAGTCAGAGAAGGTTTTCTCTAACCCTGATCGTACCGGGGCATTGGAAGATGTTGTGTTGTGTAAAGCTTCTTAACGAGTGATAAACGAATGACAACTTAAGTAGTAAGAGGAAAAACACAACGAAATAAGGTAAATTCAATTTACTTGTTTTATTAAAATTATTTAGAGATTTTTGTTCAATTTAATAATATCGAATACTACAAAATTTGATGGTGCAAAGTCATCGCTTCACACCTAAACTGCTACAAACACACACACACAAGGACGGAATAGACCAATAGTTAATCAGTCAGTTGCAACGTAGAACTTCGTACGTGTATGCACATAAGTTCAGGTTGTCATATCACATTAGCACAGAGACGCAAATGTCAAATCAAATCCCATAGTGATAAAGATAGTATAGGTATTAATGGTAATGAAGAAGACTAGGGTTTGAAGATATTATTCAAGAAGTATGATTCAGTGAGATAAGGTTAGAAAGACAAAGGTAGATGTGCTGACGAATCCAGAAGATTAGGATTTGAGACAATACAATGAATGGATGCACTTGCGCCATTACAAACGGTTTTGAACCATCCGTTACTCTGATCTTGTAGATCCCAACTAGGTAGTCTACACTTACTAATATGACTCAGTCCACTTGTTAGTGACTTTATGGTTTTGTGTCATGTTTCGGCTTGGCCGCCCCTAGGTTTCTTCCAGCCTACACCTACACCAGCCATCAGCACCGTCGAGGGAGTCTTCAGTTGCGTATTCATAACACATGTCCCAGCCACCTCATCTGATGAAGTTTCACCACTTCATTTGTTGATCTTCCATCCCTACCTCGTACTTGTTTCCTAACAACAGCATAGCTTACGAGGTTGTCTCAGAATACATCAGCAATCCCTCGAAGATATCTACAATCGAATACTAATAACCGACGAATATCCTCAACTCTTGCTGGCCATGTTTCGCATACGTATAGTAGGATGAAGCTTTCTTCCAACCTACTCCTCTACACCACAAACCATCTAACGTCGAGTCAGTTGGTCGTTTCAACTACAAAAGATCACACAACCTCAACTAAACTAATGAACACATTCAATAAACTCACCTCAAAACGACATTCATCATATTCATGAATTTTAATATAAGCATTTTTAATACGAATTGAACCCCTAGAACCACAATTCAAATCATCAGAATTACGATAATAAGTTAGCAGGCCATCAGATAAAATGAAATAACGTTCTTGCCATCCATGTAATAAATTTGTCCATTTACTAAGATAACCATGAACAGTTAGAGGTGACCATAATTCTTCATCGAATACACTTTCACCACCAGCACCACCGCAACCGCTAACAGCACCGCCAGCAGCTGCAGATGCAACATGATCATCATCATCGGATATACCGTTAGTGTGAATATTTTCTTGACTTGAACATTGAATCGGTTTAGATTGGCAGGCATTGATCACATGTGTGTTTAATGTGTTAGGAATGGAAATGGTTGGATTGAAACCATAATAATTAGATGTTGGAATAGTAGGATCCATGAAAATCAAGGTCAATTGAATGAGAAATATTGATTTATCGATTGATTGATTGATTGACTAAGTATGTATATATCTATTTGTAGAAAGTAATTAGAGGAAATAAAATCAATTTAGACATAAAGATAAATTGAAGTGCATCCTGTTTAATACTCTAATATATATATATGTTATATATATAGATAGATAGATACAAGATCTATTGACTTATATTGAATGGTTGTCTCACCTTTTGTTTATCAGAGATGGGTTTTATTATTTATAGGTAAAAATAAGCTAAACTCTATTACGTACACTTTGAATCATTTTTAACGAATTCCTACCGTTGATTAATGTATACAGTCTTGGTTGAATCCTTTAGTAAATTATTATTATTATTATTATTATTTTACGTCGAAATTAGCCATGAATTATTGTTAGACAACCAGTAGAAACTTAAGAGCACTGGACGGTGGTTTGGTCCTAGTATGAGACGTATCAGCTGTGCGCATCCACGACTCCTGTTACTCACTGTTACGAATGCACGTAAACACGTCAATTCGATATGCTCGAATTATTACGAGTTTACCTAAGTCGAAATACGAGAGCGAGGATCCATGATCCGGCGACATGACATGCTACTCTAATCCGAGTGTCCCAACCCCCATTAATAAAATAAGAAGACTTGATATGAAGTAGAACCTGTATTCTACAAGCATTCAGAAAGCACGAGGTCCGAGTCCAGAAGAGAATCAGGATACCGGATTAGGGATCCGGGACCGGGTCATAGAACCTTACAGATAATGCGTATTTATACATTTAGGTTGAATAGGAAACAGCATCGAAGTTTGTGACATTGACAATTAAGACGACCAATAGGAAGTAACATTTGAAGTGACATTGATAGTCAGGACAACCAATAAGAAACAACATTGGAGCACGTGACACTAATATCTAGGACGACCATAAAATTGACCAGTAGGAATTAACCAATAGGAATTGACCAATAATTCTCTCAGGATATTGGATGAATATCCTAACACTCACAGAAATCAAACCTATAGATCTTCGATCTTGCGCACGAATGCTTAACCTCTGAACCACTAAGCCGGTATCCAACGGTGTTACTGTCTAGCTGTGATCAATCTATGGATTTTACGCAACCTCACCCATTGTCTTCAGTAGTTAGTGACTACATGTGACAGGGTTACACTCCACTGGTCATACCTTTTCACTACGACGTAGAGAAATTCCTCATGAAGCTAGTCGCTGTTCGCCTTTTAAAATGACCTGCAAGATTTCATGTTTGTTACATCCCGTTATGGGACTCATGGGGTGATAGCCTATGTTTTAATAAATATATCGACCCTAACACGTGTAAAAAAGGAAAATCTAGTCACAGTCGATTAGACAGTAAGGTAACTTACCAATTTTTAAAATATTTTAAACAAACCTCTTAATTATTTTCGAACAGATTCTAAACAAACCACTTGCTGAATGTACTTCGTAAGTACTACAGTCATTTTGCAACAAACCATTAGTGTAGTTCATAGTATTGTTTATTAAAACGTGTACAGAGATTAAATTTATATTAGTTCTGCTGTTTATCCGACTTACAAACTGGAAAGTTTTTAAGTGTTTAATCTATTAAGGTCAATTAAACTTATGTTAAAGAGTAAACGCAACCAATATTCAAATGATACTGATACTATGCAAATGTATTAGTATTAAGAATAACGTTCTGGTTTGTATAACGAGAAGAGTCATTAGTTAATCTAAAATAAGAGTAAGATTAGGGACAATACTTATTGCCCTCTACACTTGGATAGTGTTGTCACAAGCTATTTTGAAACCGTGAGAGTCAACCAAAGTTCTATGTGTTAAATTTGACACAAACATGAATATGAAATCAAGACTTCATTTAACAGAGCCTTAGAAAGTAGTCAAAGATTGTTAGTAACAAGATCACTATATGATTAATTTGTATTCAACTTATGTTTACTGTGTCAAAGGATTGATCCATAAACTTTAGTTTCAACCAATTATGATAAGTTGGCATTCTGTGATAATAATTCGAGATGCTAACTGAAGTACCTCGAATAAAATAATACAATCTTTTCTTTTCCCTATCCCACTAACTAAAATAAAGCTTTGTGTGTTCACCAAGTGTAAGAAAGCAAACAAAAATATTAGGTTTGTCAATCATATATCAATAAAACTGATCATAAAACCTACATTGACTATTTATTATTCACCTAAAATATCGAAATTCTGCGAACAGTGCTTAAAACGACTAATTTAGTTTAACATAATTTCACCGCAGCTGATTTTTATTCGATTCTTACAAGTATTAACTTGAGACTGTATATCCTTAACAACTTAGATTAGAGTTCAGTTTTGAAGAGCTTTTGTTTCAGTTCGCATTTTTATTACATTTATGAGATGGTAGCGTCTTTTTCCAGAGGCTCTTAGTGTTACTTCACTGTTTCATAAGTTTAAATTTACCCTAAGTAACCTATTGTTTTTTCATTAAAGGTAATATGATACCATGAAAACGACGTTGTCAGCCTTCAATGACAGTAGGTCACTCAACACCCGAGAGATCACCAAATAACTTTGAAGGCACGTAAATTTCTAGTAGACAAAACTGATGGAAAACAGTGTAATTATTTAAACATTAAATCATGGTGATCATGATGTTGTTTTGTTTTCTGAGCTGGACGTTTTTTGTCGTAGAGCTCTCATTGTTCTCTTGAACAACATCATCGCAAACTTCAAATGAACCCAGAATGGATTATCAAGCCAATATATGATGTTTCTCCAAGTGGATCATATTATAACTCTGCTAAATAGCCAAAATATCCTGTGAGAAGAAAACTCTCTAATCTTTAAACAACTTGGGTTAACTCCAAAAGCTCAGTCAGCTAGAATATATATTTAAAAATTATAGTAGTTGATTTTAGGACCTAAAAGACGTAATCCAGTAAAGGTGGGTGGAGACTTGCGTTGGAGAGAATGAGAATACTAAGGCGAACTTGTACTTTATATGTACAAGATATCTGAGGGGATATCTAGATGTTCTAGACTCTAGTCACATATTTAAAACTGAATGACCTGAATACATATCAAACAGAAGGCGTTTCTCCTCTGAAGACCGCAAGTACGCCTTGCTGATAAATGCCAGCAGTAACAATAATTAGGTCAAATTTCGTCCTAAATAACCCTTACAAACTTAGGTACACTGATAAAGTTTAATGGGTACATAGAAAAAAATAATACCTGTACAAATGGTTTTGTAAATACAATAGAAATCCTTCCGGCTTTGCTCGTCAATATTAACAATCAGAAAGCATTTGAAGTCCTACGTTGGCACTTTAAGTTTAACTGGCGACTTGTTTTAGCCTAATGTTTGTGATATAACAAGTTATATTGACTGCTTTTATCATCAGATCCGATATGCTGAGTTTTCGGTTTGATATTTTCTTTAGCTTTAGCGTTCCTTAGGCACACCACTTTTTACGCAGTCCAGTAATCAAAACACTATAATGTTAAACCTGAATCGCTAAATTGATACCACAGAAACCTGGAACTGGAATGGGTTTTAGTTAACTAGCCAATAAGAGATTCAAAAGTTTTGAAAAAACATGATCATTTTTTTGATTAATAAAAGCTGTAACCTCATGATTAATTTTATCCCGAAAGTGTAAACGATCGAGTTCCAGGAGCAATGAGTCCCAAACTCCTCTATCAAGTACATCTAAGATACCATGAAATAACCTACTGCAAATGAATAAATTTTGAGTAAAGATTTATTGGCTTTCTTTTACTAAACTTTATTTAGTGGAGGATTAGGCTGAAGACTAGAGAATGAACCGATTAACTCGAAATTTAGTGATAATAGAAGCAGTTTATTTAGTGTGTGACCCCCATAGGCAACAGTGTTGATAAACTTCAAAAGAAACTTTGTGATAAAATACCGGAGTATAAATGACCATTCGAAAGTCCACCGGGTTTTAGTTATATCAAGTTTATTGTACTGGACAGTCACCGAATAATGTCGTTGTATTAAAGAATTATTCTGACGAACGCGTAAAAAATTTAGAAACAGGAAAATAAATCATATTAAGTCATCAGAAAATAGTGATTTGCATAGAACGCCTCACTTTTTATAAATGATCACTTAACAGTAGCGTCTTACCGTCAGAATGCGCTCTGTTGTTCTTTCAGTTTCAGTTTCAATTATGAAGGACAGTGGTTGAGTTATTCATATTCGTCTTAGCAACTAAGATCATTCACTTAATATGAAGTTCCTTTGAATGCTTGGATGAATGTAGTTTCAATAATGTGTTCATTTAACCACTTCCATCTCTTCAAAATTTCGACGTGAAAGTCAAATATCTAATATATAAAATCACCTCGGGTCCTTCTCTGTGACAAAGGAAATAAATTCACTTTGGCCAATCTCTATTTATGCATCAGTTTTCCGATTCCTGAGATCTCAACTGCAGTCAACTGAAACTGCGACAACGAGTTACTGCCCTTTTTCGGGCAAAGGCTTGGACGAACGATTATTGTATGCAAAATCATATATGTCTTAGCATCGAAATCTCTACAGGATCTAAGTATAAACCAGGAGACTATTGCACTAATGTTCTATATTCCTCAAGTTTTGGCTAATGATGACTCCGAGTTCATCGTGTGTCTGAATAACAGGCCGTTTAGTGTCTATTATTCTGTACTATGGTGACTAATATGCATCGTGATGCTTTCGAAAGAGTTTATCGGCAACACCCGAGTTATTTGCAGATCAGTTAACTTTTGTGGGTCATTTGAGGCTGTGCACTACCACCATTTGCGGTAGCTCTACAAATGATCATGTGGTCAGTTTATAGCAAAACCGATAGTGATAGGAGATTAGGAAGGTTGCAGTGAGTCATTCAAAGCTAAAAAACGTTCACTTGTACAATTCATCATAATAATAAATGATACTTTTTAACCAATCGTGTTTTCCTTCGTAAAACTGAAATCACTAAAGAGTGCGAACCAAAGCAATCCACTTAACAGTTTACTGTTTTAAAAAAGTAGATTTAAGCAAAAACATTTTCTGAAATCCAACTAACAAACCCTTTTTTCCCAAATTAACAAGCTGCTCCTGACCTTCATTTTCTTTTACTCGATATTAATCTTTTGACTCAAAAGCTCTGGCTGAAGTTAATTAAAATTATTTCTATAAAAGCTTCTGATCTTTGATAGCATCAAATTCCACAGGCTAATAACAGGTTTGTGAGACAAAAATAGCCATTCCTGAAGCTGTATTTCACAATAATCGTTACTAGAATCTCGTTATTGATGCTAGTTTGTCTTTCAGGTTTATGGTTCTAAGGTTTGAGCTGTATTAGCTTTAAAAAAGGAACTTACAAGTTTCAGAAGTTAGATTCTAGAAAGTGGATATAATTTCTTCTGACTGGTTTCATTCACTGATTGTCCCAATCTGTATGAAAGGACAAAATCAGAGTAGAGGACATTCGTAGGTTTTTAATATGCGGCTTTTGTGCCCGTGTATCCTGAGACTATCAAGTAAGCAGTGCTGTTGTTAGGAAACGGGTACCAGGTATGGATGACAGATCAATAGATGAAGTAGTGAAACTTCATCAGTTTGGGAGGTTGGGGAATGTATTACGTATGCTCAACCACCGACTGCCTCGACGAGTGATGTTTCGCAGTGTACGAGTAGGGGTAGCTAAACCATAACATGACACAGATCCGCGAAGTCACTGGAAAACTGGACTGAGTCATGTTTGTTGGTGTAGACCACGAAGTTGTGGTCAGCTAGATGATAGTAACCAATGGTTAAAGACGCTGATTGCCATGGCTCGAAATCGTTTGCAATGGCTCAGGTGCATCAATTACTTGTATTCTTTCGAATCCTAATCTTCTGAATTCCTCATCGCCGTTTTTCTTTTTTTGACTGATTCCTCTGGACTATGAATCTCGATTAATATATACAATAATCAATCTCTCTGATTACTGCTAATTCTTCTATAACTACTGTTACGGGATTCGAATTGACAATTGCGTCTCTGTGCTGTATGACAAAAGAAACTGATATACATAAGCACGAAGTTCTACGTGGTAACTGACTGAACAACCATGATTTCTGTTTAGTCATTTGGAAATCTGATTTAAGGTACGGATGAAATGAAACATACTAATAATGTAAACCGATCAGAAGAAGCTAAACCAAAAGACTGCTTGTTGACCTTAAGAAAATGTTTTATTTCTTATATGGATGAAAAATACATAAAATGAGCATCTCTATGTATTATCCGGAGACCGAACAGACTTCGAACTCCAATCCCGTTTTCTCATTCAGGTAGGCACTATGAGAGGACAACGCGTACCGTGTTCAAATCTGAGACACCGGCCCATCAAAACATGTGCCCAAGTGCTTTGCTGAAAAACTTGCACGTTCCTTCATTGATCTGGAATGCGTCCTAAGAGACTGAATACACTAAGTTTCTGAATGGTCGTAATGCTTAATATATCGTGCAGCGACTCTCATAGACTAATTTGTAAATGGCGAGCCGTTTTGATTAGGGATTCTTATACTACAGTTTTCACTGATATTAAACAAAAGGTATTGGAAGGGTTGGTAAACGAACAGATGATGTGATACATAGATTAGTTCAAAACCAAATGGTTTCGGGAATAATTGTGGTCCACGATGTGGCTACTAAAAATCCTACCGTCTGAACAACCTTAGATATTCCAGTAGGGCCGCCAATTCTTTTTTCCAAATCCCAATATATCAGAACAAAAACCGTTAGATAAAGAATGCTTACGGCCTTGAACTTTAAAGACAATGCATATTTGTAAACTTAGGACGACCGTAAATATTGACTAATGGGAAAGAGGATGTGAAATATATTCTACTTTTAATGATGGAATTAGACTTGAGAGAATATTTATGTGAAATCCTGTAAAAAGGCGAGTTGATCGGATTCGCTGTTCTATTGGCATGAAAGAGTTTGACATCCTGCTCCGACCGGAAAAATACCTGTGAACATAATATTTCTTGACTTTGCAAAAGTAGATGATACAAGGATTTTGATGTCCATTAGAAACGAGGAGGATTCGACTAAGTGAGCTTCAAAGCGATCTTAGATCAGTTGAAGAAAAACGGTCAAAACTGGACCAGTCGAAATGGCATGTCATGTACATTCTGCCCTACATTACGCAAACGACTTACATACTCAACAGAAGTCCTGTCCCTCATGTGTACTCAGAGCGCGAAGTCGGTTTATAAACAACTGATTGCCTCCACACAAGTTCAAAATATATAGGGAATGCAGTCAAGGCGAATGTAAGTCTTCACTTTATGCAATTTGAACTTGGTGCTTTCAGCACAGAATTATTCTTAGCGTCGTTTAAAAGATACACACGTTCATACTTTGAGGTCAGAATGTCATTGCACCCATTCTACTTACAAGAGACAGAAACCTCTTGGACTAAAATTAGGCAGTAGAGTGGCTAGACCACCACTCGTAGGACACTTCCAAACACCTGGAACCGTACCGAGGGAAAAAGAACCGAGCGCTAAGAAATCAGTTGATTTATACCAACTCGCGTAAAAGATATTGGATATTGGAGTGCAGAGAGGAGCAACGAAATGGGTGATGAGGTTGAAAAATAAAACTCACGATGGTTGACTCAAGCACTTGTGATTATTCTACCTGAGTTAAAGGAGAACCGGAGACGATCTTATTGTGGCTTACAACATAATAAACACGCCAAATCATCCTAGCGTGTGCACCTTACTAAAGAACCACCACTGCGCCCCTTGAGGCAATCCTCGAAAACTTGTGCATCAAAGAGAGAATACCCAGGTTCGTGCACACTTTTTCTCATTAATAGTCGTTCCAACTTGGAATGCTTCTCAAACCGAGGGGACCACAGCCCCCTCAGTGAACAGCTTTAAGAAGAGACTCGATAAACACGTACTCACATATGGATTTCCATATTTATCGTGGACAAGCTGTACCTGATGCATGTCATGAGAAATGCAAGTTGATATTTTCGCTATCTTCTCAAATCACTTACTTAATATATCTCGCTCATTATCTCTGTTTCCTCTACCTTCCTTCCAATTCGGTCCTCTCCCACAATCTTCACTACCAATTAATGAAATAAATTATCTCTTTAGTTGGTTAGTTCTAAACTCATTTTATGATCAGCATTAGAATTATTTCCTTATTATTCTCCATACTGCAACTCACTAATCTCCTGCCTAGTAACGTAATTGCTGCAGGTATGCAGAAACTCTACTACCCTTGAACGAACCTACTCATTCAAATCATGAGGCATACAAACTCACAAACAGCTGCCAACTGACTAGAATTAGTGAATTCGAGTGGCTGTACGCCCATTCATTGGACACTTCCAGACACCTGGAACCGTACCGAAAGAACAACAGTTGAGGGCAAAGAAATCAAACGGTTTCTACTAGCTCGTGAAAAAGATATCATAGATAAACAAAGAAGCTTCCCTGTTACGTAACTAGTGTCATCATACAACAGTAAATGTTTGTTTTGTCGTTCAAAAGTAGACCAATAACCCTTTAATTGTCACTTTCATTCACATCAATGAAGTTAAATGTACCTGCGGCAGCAAGTATATTGGAGTGTCAGAAAGAAGGGCCTCTACAATCTCTATTGAACACATTCTCAGGAATCTACAGCTGAAGGGAAAGTAAATTCACGATATGTGGAGTTTCCGAATAACTTCTAGATAGTGGACATGTAATGATTGTAAGCAGTGTATCTAAAATAATTAACATACAAAAAATCAATATTACTCCCTTTTGGCAAAGGCAATCGCTTTCAATTCGGACTACGTATATAGGAAGGAAGTGCAACTAGCCTTTCTGTTCGATGCAAACTGTGCACTTATCTGGTAATCTTTATTCATCTACCTCAATCCTCAACCTTCTGATATTTATCTCTAACATAACATTATTGATTCCCACATTTTTGCTCATTTTATCGTGTTCAGCAATTATCTAATCAGTTGTTGGTTTCATTATCTTTACATAACCTCTTGTAGTGATCTCACATTTACGAAGAAAACACGATCAGTTAAAAAGAGACATTCATTATTATAACCAATCATAACAAATATTTTGTTTATTCTTACTTTTGTACCACACCGCTTCTGCGAGGTTCCCATCTTGTTTTACTGCCCTGTACATTTCACCCATTTTCTCTGGCACGATTTCGTTTCTTAATTCGATTCCACTAAACTCCCAGCTAATAAACTTACTTCATCTGGACAATCCCAGTTCCGTTTCTCATTAATTCACGATAGGACAACGCTTAAGACTCAAACATAATTCGATAGTAGACGTAATCATAGTTATCCTTGATACGAACACTACACTCACTTATCTCGATTATAATTATTGATTTGAACACTGTTTATTCATAAACTTTAGTACTCTATTCTTGTTATCAATTTGAGTTCGGTTAGATTTCGAATATTCATCTAGACTTTACAAATTAAATAAAGTATGCTTTGTGAGGTGGTGAAAATTTGTAGATCAGGTGGATGATTTTAGTGGTGTTTCGTTCTCTGAGCTAGATGTTTTGGTTGTGGAGTTTTCATTGTTCTTCTGGACAACATCACATCTGAAGTTTGTGCTAATGACGATGTTCAGAAGAACAATCAAAGCTGCACAACCAAAACATCCAGTTCAGTGAAAGATATACAACCACAAATGAAGTATTTTAAAAACTAGTTAATAAATAGGTTGCTTCTGGTCCTTGTCATGGACATTATTTCACAGTGCCTGTCATCTTCCGTAGTCGATGAACGAGGTGGATGAGCAGATGCTGAATGCGCAAAACAAGAATCCAAATTATTGTGTTGAACGTTGTTCGAATATTATGAAGACAGAAGTATATGACACTCTGCCTCGTAGTTAGAATATGTCATCAACTTTCATTGATAACAAAAGTACGGCAATACATATGGTTTTTAAACGAATTCTGAATAGTCGTGTATACAGGGTATTTCTGATTGTAACCGATTTGGTCTCGTATGTTGTTGTTACACCTTGAACGACATGGCTCAAAATCGTTTGCAATGGCGCAAGTGCATTCATTCGTTGTGCCCTCTTAAATCCGAATCTTCTGGATTCATCAGCCCCTCTACCTTCGTCTTTCTAAACTTATCTCACTGAATTATACTTCTTAAATAATATCTTCAAACCCTAGCCTTCTTCATTACTATTAATACGTCTACTACCTCTATCATTATGGGATTTGAATTGACATTTGCGTCTGTGTTAATGTGGTATGTCAACATGAACATATGTACATACGTACGAAGTTTTACGTTGCAACTGACTGACTGACGTTTGTTACGGTTATGAGCGCGGGTATCACATGCCGGCTGCCCACACCATAAAAGGTTGTTTCTTGAGAAACCTAAAAATGAAGGTAGATAAGCGTTGGTCTTAGAAACCCGGGAGTGTGATCGCAATGTCCAAGGGGCAACTGCTTGAGGCCGGTCACGAACGGTGTTAGCTCCGCTCTTTAAGAAAGGCCTTACCGCCAGAGACGGACATCGGTGGGGTAGAGTGAAGTACAATATTTTTGAGGTCGACTTTTCCTAACTCCTTCCTTCCTCATAAGGCAGCGTTGCTGCAGATGCTAGTTGTCCGAGGGAAACACCTTACTGCTGTAACATCCCTCTACAATCATCAAGTACGTATTAACCGTCAGACCTTGAGTTGCTGCTCTTAATCTTACTGTTCTCCAATCGACCTGCCTGGCATAAGAGAACCCAAAAGGAACATATATTCCAGCCAATATAACTGGGATCATCACAATAAGCCAGCCCAACCATCACATCAAGTTAACAGCTACAATTTGGATGCACCAAATGTAATACAACTGACAAGAAATCATAGAATAAAATAAAAATCTATGTTTTATTCTGGCAAAAAAAACAACTTTTGTTTTGATTCTTACAGTGTGTGTTTCATTGCAATTCAAAATAAGTTCAAATCATCATAGAATATATATATATATATATATATATATATATATATATATATATAACATTGAATATTTATAAAGAAAAAATCACCCCTGAACTCTTGTTTTGATAACAATATTAATTTAAATATACAGATTTAAAACAAATAACCACACATAAACATTGAACTGTTACCCTAGAAGACAAAAAAACAACAACAACAGAGAAATCAACGCAGGAACAATAATAATCAATAGGCCAAAAATGACGTAACAGTAATCATACTACTACTACCAACACAACATACACACACACACACTTGTTATCCCTTCACCTACTTTTTTGTTTGAACAAAAATTCCGAACTAGAATGGATTCGATGAACATTTAGACAAAATATGAGAAGACGAAGTACAAAAACTAGGAGAAGAAGGAAGGAGGAGGCAATCGACATCATCCATAACACACACATACACACATGTGATCATCTATCTCGGCGCTCTTCTTTATCTCTGTCTCTCTCACTCTCCAATGGAATGAATGTTATACAATGAAGAAAGGCATCATTAACAGATGAAAAAAGTCTGGTTGTGCAAATCACAGACACACACACACACATAGTGAGAAAATAACAAACCAATTATTTCCCTATATAAACTGATTCTGTATTATCACAACGATAAACAACAGATAAACAAAATATACATATAGAGAGAGAGAATCTCAAAAAAATAACAAAAAGAAGTAATCAATCTCTTCTCAAAAAAAGTACATTTGATATGTAACATTGAACAATGTTCAATAGTGAACAGTAGGATGTAACATTGAACAATGTTCAATAGTGAACAGTAGGATGTAACATTGAACAATGTTCGATAGTGAAGAGTAGGATGTAACACTGAACAATGTTCAATAGTGAACAGTAGGATGTAACATTGAACAATGTTCAATGGTGAAAAGTAGGATGTAACATTGGACAATGTTCAATAGTGAAGAGTAGGATAGTCATTTTGAAAAAAAGAAAGCAAAGTAAATCATCACAAAACAAAATAAAGCTGTGAGACTACTATGATACAAAATAATCAGAGTGATCACAGAGTATCATCATGAACCAAACTGTATTTTACACACACACACAAACACACATGTACACAACATAAGGAGTATAGCAGAGTGAGTGAGAGGCACACAGAGAAACAGTGAGTGAGTGAGGGAAAGAGAGTGAGAAAACATGGAAAGATTCATGTACAACAAGAAATAATGCAAAGAAAAAGGCGAAGAAACTGTACACAGACACAGTCACAAGTGAAATGTTCGTCTATCTCCGTTTGTTGTTGCTGTTCTACACAAATCGATTATTCTCAAATTTACGCTTGTTGAGTTTTTTTCGCTGATGATGATGCTGATGATGATTATTGGATTTTGAATGTTTTTTCTGTATGAGTGTTGATGTTGTTGTAGAGGATGACAATGAGCTAGAAGATGACGCTGATGATGATGAATTAGAGTTTGTTGTCGTCAGTGGGATTGATGATGTCAAATGATCGGGCTAAATATGTAGGGAAAAATGGAAAATCATATAACATAATCATACCGTATCTATCATACATATTAAACATATCAGTTTAACGTAAAAGGAGCAGCACATAGCGCACGTGTACATCATAACAATTTGTCATATTCCAAACTAATACAGTAAAGTATTGTCAGAATGATGTGATAGGTGATAAGTTGGCTAAATAAACACAAGATTAGATCTGTTACCTTGCGAACATCTTGGTGCTTCTGAAACCATACTCAGTAAGCAACAAGATAGGAGTTCATAGCACAGAGATGAAACTGTCAATTCAAAACCCATAGTAGTAGAGGTAGTAAAAGGTATTAGCGACAATGGAAAAGATTAGGGTCGAGGATATCATTCAAGGAGCGTAATTCAGTGAAATAAACTCAAAATGATGAAGGTGATGATGAATTCAGAAGGTCAGTAGAATTTGACAGAACACAAAGAATGGATGCATCTGCGCTACCGCAAACGGATTTAAGTCATGTCATTCAAGGTATCTAACCATCGGTTACTATCGTGTTGCGGACCCCTGGTAGTCTACACTTACTAACATGACTCAATCCACTTGTCAGTGAATTCATAGATTTGTGGCTGACACTACATACTCACAATCTTCCTCTACCTTCGCCCGCGCGTAGCTGCTACGTTGAAGTGGTGGTCGGACTTGACCCAACCGAGCTATATTGGCTGGAATTTATGTTCCTGCAGGTCCTATCATGCCAGGCAGGTCGATTGGAGAACTATAAGACTAAAAGCAGCTACTCAAGGTCTGAGGGCGAATTCGTACTGCCGACTAACTGTAGAGAGGTGTGACAGCTGTAAGGTGTTTCCCTCGGACAACCAGCATCTGCACCGATGCTGACTTCTCTTAAGCAAGAAAGGGGTTAGAAAAGGTCGACCCTAAAAAGTCACACTTCACCCTACCTCATGGATTCCCATCCCCGGCGGTAAGGCCTTTTAAACAAGAGCGGAGCTAATACTCGAAACACCCTTTCATAAAAAGGCCGTGTGTGACCGGCCTTAAGCAGTTGTCCCTTAGACTCTGCGATCACACTCCCAGGTCTCCAACACCAACACTAATCTACCTTTCTTTTTTAGGTTCCTCAAGAAACACCCTTCCACGGTGTGAGCAGCCGAGAAGTAACATCCGCCCTCATACCCGTAACAACACACGGCACCAAGTTGGTCACAATCAAATCCTTTCTACACTTCCATCTTCGTTATTTGGGAACTTATAACCGGTAGTAATTCCAGAAGGACACTCTCCTCTATCTAGGCATAGTTACTTTCATTTATTTTAACAAAAAAATACTGTTATCACACTTGTCACATCATTCACCTTTCTCCTGAGTAGATTATTATCATTATTGTTCAAAGACTGCGGTACATTGTATCCCTGAGATAACATTAATTCATGGGATTGAGAAACACATGATTGTAAACAATCTATGATTGGAAAAAAAAGAAGAAAATGAATACGGGAAAAAAATGAGACGATAATAAACCAACATTTACAATGACTGATCAATCTTTTTTCATTGTAGAGTTACGGGGGATTGTGTTATATTCATCACTTGGTAAGCTTGAAGCTATATTACGAGTTCACCTTTCAGTCGATAAACGCAAACGAGACAATCATCCAGCGTCCAGGTAGGGCTACCTTGAATCCTAAACTGCAAAAAAAGAAGACTTAGTAAGCCTAGAAAGGATATTCTATAAAACACCCAGCAATCACAATACACAATCAAGTACATAACTCTCGTTTTCACTAAACATCATAGAAACGTCCTTGAGACAGTTAAGAAAATAGCACACTAAAATACACAGCAGCCAATCACAGCCATGGATTTTCCTGGCGCGAAAAAATGAAATCTCAAGGTCAACTGATCAGCCCATGCTCGGAAACGTGAAATCCAAAATAAGGCATTAATCAAGCGAGTTCTGAGGATCTAACATCCCCAACAGATTGTTGATTATTACTGCTGCAACCATGAATCAATCATACGCACGGCTGATAAAGAGTCCTATAAAGTAGGACGAAACGGCCATTCTAGTGCTTCCACGTTTCTAATGGTGGAGTGTTTTAACTAGGACTGATTCTGGATTTCAATGATTTATCAATCATTCCATGATATTTGAATGATGGCGGACAACAGCTATTACAACAACAACAACAACAAAACTTTGAAGCGTTGGATGGCTGTTTCGTCCAAGTATTGGATTCATCAGTAGTGAGCATCCACGACGTGAAATGAACCCAGGGCCTTCGGCCTCACGCATAAACCATCGACCACTTATAACCAGTGAGTAGTCATTTATTAGTGTAAGTGTTTAACCTCAGTCAATCTATAATGTCGCGTGACCTCACCTTGTCCGTTGTCAACGACTGGCAATTGTCTCATATCCGACACAATTAAACCCTACTAGTCACAACTTCTCACTACAAATCCGAGAGTCCCTTCACAAAGCTAGTCATTAGTGAGTACAGAATGATTGTTATTTATAGAGTTGTGAAGATTGTCGAGTTACTTAGGAATCATGGATCGACATCATTCTAAAACTACCATTATAAACGCGGAAGCACTGGACAACCGTGGATTGATCAAAGTAAGATATTCACACCGTTGGATGATTGCTGGCAAAATGGTCCAGGGATTAAGCGTACGCACACACGACCGGAAATTCTGGGTTCGATTCCTGCGGGAAGCGGGCAGTCGTGGATGCGCACTGCCGATGAGCCCCATACTAGAACGAAACGTACGTCCATTGCTTCCAGGTTCCTAACGGTGATCTAACAATTAACTATACGATGCTGTTAACTAAATTTTGATCAATCGTTGATGGATTGTCTTGGATTTAGTGGCTAACAGAACTCCTACTTCATTCAATTGAGGGCTGATCGATCAGCTAGCTGTCTGAATTCAATAGCTTGATGACTGATGGGTGGCATGTCGAACAACATGACTCGATGACTTCAGGGACTATTGTCATAATCTTTCTGATGATGATAGGTTTCTCATAGACCACCTAATGAGCTTTCAAAAACAGAAAAAAACTGCACATTTATACTACTGTGGTGTGTGCTACTTATACGAACGATATAAGTAGTATAGGAAGGGACGTGAAAGAAGAAATCTCACGGTCACAAGAGGAAAACGGAAAGCAAATGGAGCAAAAGCAAGAAGTAAATGGAGTACGAACAGGAAGGAAAGGAAGCAACAGCAGGAATGGAAGAAGAAGGATGGAGCGTTGGAAGTCACGACTCAAAGATGGTGTGCAAATAGACCATTCAGTGTAATGTTTTCGTTTTCAATTGACTCAAAGTGTAAATACAATCTTCCTCGCCTGCCTCAGTCTTCTCAATTGGTGTCGCTGCCTCTACACAGTAGGAAGATACCATGGCCTCGGGAGTTTGAAGAAGTAGATGTAAGGAGCTTCTTGAAGGAGTTCAAAGCCTTGGCGGAGCTGGTCGGAGTCAAGGAGCAGAGGGCGGTGGTGGTGTTTGGGACTCTACTAAGAGGCAGGGCGAGAGCGGTGTACGATGGTGTGGAGGATGCTGACTGGGAGGTGGTGACGAAAATGCTGCTGGTGTAGTTCGACAGCCCGGCGGATAGGCAGGACGCACTGCAGAAGTTCCGAGAGGCGAGACTGACGGTGGATGGCGACCCACTCGTGTTGGCTGTGGAGTTGACAAGATTGCTGCGCCAGAGTCTGCCAAATTTGGATAACGAGTCGCAAGCACAGCTGCTAGCGTCACAATTCATTGAAAGTGTGCCTGCAGAGGTTGCCTAACAGTTGAAACTGGTGAACGCCGCTCAACCAATGGACGTCACCGAGCTGGCAAAAGTAACGAGACAGCTGATGAATCCAACAGTCGCCTCGGTGGGGTGTGAGAGACAGGCTGATGATGTCGCCGAGAAGATAGAAGAATCACACCGCGAGGTGGCAGCGTTACGAATAAAGGGTGGAAGAAATAATAAATGCTATATTTGCGGAGGAACCGGGCATTGGAAGAGGAATTGCCCAACAAAACGAAAACGAAAACATTACACTGAATAGTCTATTTGCACACCATCTTTGAGTCGTGACTTCCAACGCTCCATCCTTCTTCTTCCATTCCTGCTGTTGCTTCTTTTCCTTCCTGTTGGTACTCCATTTACTTCTTGCTTTTGCTCCATTTGCTTTCCGTTTTCCTCTTCTGACCGTGAGACTTCTTCTTTCACGTCCCTTCCTATACTACTTATATCGTTCGTATAAGTAGCACACACCACACTACTACTACTATACTACTCAATTAGAATCAAATCAATTAGAACGATAATTAAATAACTAACCATTGTCTTCATATTTCACTGTATCACGTTTGTATTGATTATTATCTGACGACAATGAAGAAGAGGAATAAATTGTCGGCAGCTGTTGTAGCGATGATGTTAAGTGTTTAGGTTGTGCGTAACATCCAACTTGACTTGAAGAAGTGTAATTATCATCCTAAAAAAAATTTAGAAAAAAAGGGGGGGAAAGTTTTATAGTGAAAATAAAATTTGTTATGTGACAATAAATTCGCATGAAGACCTCCTGAGGTTACTGTTGGTTCCCAAGCCCAGATGAAGGTGGTCAGTAAGTCAGTCAGTTACAACGTAGAAATTCGTACGTACATCAGTTCAAGTTACCACACCACATCAGTGCACAGAGATCGAATTTTCAATTCAATCCCATAGTAGTAGTAGTAGAGGTAGTAGAAGTATTAGCAGTTATGGAGAAGATTAGAGTTCGAAGATATGATTCAAGAAGTATAAATTCAATGAGGTAAGTTTAGAAAGTGAGACGTGATGAGGAATTCAGAAAATTAGAATTTCATAGAACACAAACAGTGGATGCACCTGCGACATTGTAAACGAATTTTGGGCCATGTCGTTCAAGGTCTCTAACCATCGGTTACGACTGTCTCGCGGACACCAACCAGATAGTCTACATCTACCAACATGACTCAATCCACTTGTCAGTGACTTCATGGATTTGTGTCATCTTTTAATCTGACCGCCCCTAGCTTTCTTCCAACCTATTCCTACACCACAAAACATAGAACATCGAGGCAGTCGGTTGTCAAGCATTCGTAACACATGTTCAAACCACCTCAACTGATGAAGTTTCAATATTTCATCTATGGACCTGCTATCCTTACCTAGCACCCGTTATCTAAAATCAGCATTGCTTACTCGATTACCCCAGGATAAACTGTCAATTCTCTACAAACACCCATGATGAAATATCAGTAATCTACGAATATCCTCTGCTCTGACTGACCGTGGAAATTAAAAAACCATGATTCCAAACCAATGGTGTTCACAGACTTCATGATCATCAAGGAACAAACAGTGTACGAATTTAGAGTTGGTCAGCGTCTATCATGAGATTACATACCCTAACGTTTCTTCACTACTTTATGAACTAGACTTGTAGGTCAAAAACCATCAGGAGTGGCCTCCCAAGAATATCATCTGCTTCAGTTCAGTTTTGGCACTTAGACCAAGCCCTCCTTTGACTGGTCAGCGGCCTATGCTCCATTAGGGGTAACAGGCGTAAGTAAGTAAGTAAGTAAGATACCTGATTTATCAAAATATTTAAGCGTTTTTAAATATGTATGACAAATATAAAAGAAAGACAATGATAACAATAAAATCTACTTACCACAATCTTATCAATATGCATTGGTTTCGTCAGTAAACAACACGAATAATTCACAGGATTCATCAGTTTGCATGATCCTATAGGCATAGACACATTTCCATCAATCTCTTTCAATGGACAAACCGGCGGAGGCGAAGCCGAATGATGAAGACGATGACAGTGATGATCATGATGATGATAATGGCAGCAATTGATTTCCATCGCTGATTTACATTTGGATGTATGCAATAGCAATTCATTGAATTGATGACAACAAGGAAAAGTTTTTGATACTAACTGCTTATTATTATTATTACTATTACTTTTATTATTGTGATTATTATCATTATTACTACTGTTATCATTGTCAGTAGTATAATTAGTAGTCGTAGAAGTAAGAGGAGCAGGAGGTAGAGGAGGAGTAGGTGTAGGAGAGTGAGATGAAGGAGTAGTAGCTGGTGTATTCTCAGAATCATGATTATTATAATTACTAGTAGTAGTATTATTAGTAGTATTATCAGTAGTATTGATTGTAGCAGGTAATAAATATTTTTGATGTTGTTGTTGTGGTTGTTCGCGATGGTGATGGTGGTGATGTTCCGCGGCATGGATTGAATTAAAGTATACAATGAAATCATTGAAATGTTGATGATTTTTAAAACAATATAACAATTGATATAAATTTGTTGACAATAATAATAATTCTTTATTCATGATCAATTGATGTTGATGATGATGAGGGGCAGTGTGTGGACGAAACCAAATCCAATAAATTGATAAATGAACTATTAATGCTAAGATGATATGAAGTAGGATTAAACTGAGTAACTAAATAATAAAAAAAGGGAAAAAATAACAACAGATAGAACGATAAGCAGTTAGCCACAACGGAGAACTTAAGTATGTACAAACGTAGGTACTTACATCCATTCAAGCTGCCATGACATGTTATCACAGTAAGAAGCTAGCAAGCCTTTTGGGGACGTTATATCCCCAGAACTCACTTGGAAAAGGTCCTAATTTTGGATTAATTGGTGTTTTCGCGCATTGGGCTGATCAAATGACCTTGAGATTACAGATCCCACACCTAAAATCGTTGACTGTCACATTGGTTGATGTTTTATCTCTTAGGACGCTATTTTGTGGCTCTCTCAAGGAAGTTTCTATCAGTCAGTGTATAAATAAACTTGATTTGTGTGTTTGTAGGAGCTTGTAGAAAAAACTTTCTACGTCTTATCAAGACTTCTTCGTCTACTTAGTGGGGGCGTTTGGACGCTCGAACTAGAGTAGCCTATCGTGTCACTGGATCGTTTGTCTTCGCTCTCGTTTACCGACTAAGGTGACCTCGTAATAGTTTCAAGCATATCAACAGTAGTAGTAGAGGTAGTACAAGTAATAGCGCTAACAGAGAAGATTTAAGTTTGAAGATACGATTCGAGAAGTATGATCTTGTCAAATAAATCGAAAAACTGTCGTAAGGAATTTAGAAGATTAGATTTCGAGACAACATAAAGAATGAATGCATCTGTGTCATTCAAGGTCTCTAATTATCTCTAATTATGATTTGGCTCGCCGATTCTGACCACGTAGTCTACATCTACTGACATTACTTAATCCAGCCTGTTAATAACTTCATAAAGTTGTGCCATGCTTTGATCTGGCTGCCTCTGTGTTTCTTCGAGCCTAAGCCTACACCGACTCCCTCTTTTAGATAAACTGCTGACAGTTGAATGTAAGATGGAACTACTATGAACGATGTCATTTTATAATAAGGTAGCCAACCTGAACTGGACAATATTCAACTTGCCACATCAAGACAACTTTCATAAAAACTGTTAGGACATTCGTCCAGTATCCTAAGAGAATGATTGGTCAATTCCTATTGGATATTTCATACTGATCAATTTTATGGCCCTCCTAGATATCAATGTCACGTACTTCAATTTTGATTCTTATTGGTTGTCCTGACTGTCAATGTCACTTCAAATGTTGTTTCCTATTGGTCGACTTAACTGTCAATGTCACAGACTTCGATGCTGTTTCCTATTCGACCTAAATGTATAAATACGCATTATCTGTAAGGTTCTATGACCCGGTCACGGATCCCTAGCCCGAGATCCTTGCATTCTTCTGGACTCGGACGTCGTACTTTCTGGATGCTTGTAGAATACTGGTTCTACTTCATTTCAAGTCTTCTTATTTTTACTCAATATGGGGGTTGGGACAATCGGATTAGAGTAGCATGTTGTGTCACCGGATCCTCGATCCTCGCTCTCGTTTTCCGACTTTGGTGAACTCGTAATAGTTCAAGCATACCAAGTTGACGTGTTTACGTGCAGGCATAACATAAACATTGTATAGAAACATTTCAGGATGAAATCTTCAAAGGTTTATAGAAGCCTTGACTATTCGTAAATTCAATGCCCCTTTTGTGTACAGAAACAGATTGTCGTAACCTTGACCTAGGATAATGTGACAATTATTCTTTCTTTCTAAACTATGTTAATTTTAATCTCGCGCCTTTATTTACAATTATCACCTTGTGTTTATTTGAACTTTTACTAAATTGACCTCCACAGTTAATTTTCATATAAAATACCTTGACAAGTGTGTGTGACCAAATTATTCGACGCGAATACAACACACAGCATTTTTCGAATCAACTACGTTTTCTCGTTGTTAGATCACCTATTAGAGACCGAAGTTTATGGGTTCGATTATTGCGAGTGGCGTAATTCAGTGATGCGCACTGCTGATAAATCCCATATACCAGGACGAAACCGCCATTCAATGTTTCCAAGTTTCTACTCGTCGTCTAACAATCATCGACTGGTCATTTCAATGAAAGATTGTTCAATTTAAAAAAAGGTTTACATTAATAGTTTGACAGTCTCTTAAAATGAAGATGTTATGATGAGCAATGCGCGTTAACCCTCCTTAGAATAGGAATCTATTTCTTGGCCAATAATAATTAATGTATCCCTTTTTTAGGACATTTGCTGATGGTCATTAAAATGACCTTATCACTTGGCCACTTCTGATTGGCTCATTATATTCGAATGGTCATTAGATAAATACTGTGTCGTATATTATATGAAATGAGATGAAACACGTTTGGATTTTACGGATAGCGCACTACTAATAAATTTAGATGACCTAGTTAGAATCTGACAATCGATTACATAACTAATTATAGTCAATCCAAGATAGATACATCACTGTTGTCATTATATTATATCATCAGTATTAGGTGTTTCGTCATAGTGTTCATACGGGAGACCGAAAGTCCTGGGTTCGATTCCCATGTGCAAGGTACACAGATGAGCATTGCTGATGAATCCCGCACCAGGACGAAACGGCCGTCCAATGCTTCCAAGCTTCTAATTAATTGATCTACAAATTTCAAAGCTTATACAGTCCATTGATAATATATCATCTTTAAGTACAGTTTTATGAACACAGGACAAAATCCTCGAGTCATGGTGATAAGCTATTAAAAACCATATGACCATTGGCGTTCAGTTCACAATCCACTCTCATTCAAGTTTAGTTATACTCTTTGATAAATTTAACTGTTTATATGATATAAAATGTTAACCGGTTGATAATCACGTGTTATTGTTTATATCACATGATTTGAAACTTAGTGTGATTAAAAATTTGAGTAATCAATCAGATCACAAAATTGCAGTGGTAAGAACCATTTTCCAACTGGGAAATCGAATAATGGCGCTTTTTTCAATCAGTTAAAATGCCGACTGATAAAAAAACCTGCTATTGTTTCCTAATATGGGATTCTTCAACAGACACGTCGATCTCTTGTCCGTCAGTCAGTTGCAACGTAGACTTTCGTACGTCCATATGTACATACGTTCAGGTTGCCAGACCACATTACCACAGAGACGCAAATGTCAAATCAAATCCCATAGTGATAAAGATAGTAGAGGTATTAATGGTAATGAAGAAGACTAGGGTTTGAAGATATTATTCAAGAAGTATGATTCAGTGAGATAAGGTTAGAAAGACAAAGGTAAAGGTGCTGACGAATCCAGAAGATTAGGATTTGAGAGAGCTCAATGAGTGGATGCACCTGCGCCATTGCAAACGATTTTGAGACATGTCGTTCAAGGTCTCTAACCATTGATGACTTTCGTCTCGCGGACCCCAACCAGGTAGTCTACATCCACCAACGCGACTCAGTCCACTCGTCAATGACTTCATGGATTTCTGACATGTTTTGGTTTGGCCGCCCCTAACTTTCTTCCAACCTATTCCTACACTGCAAAACATTGCTCGTCACGGCAGTCGGTGCTTAGGCATACGTAACATATGTCCCAACCACCTCAACTGATAAAATTTCATTGCTTCATCTATTGATTTGCCATCCTTACCTAGAACGCGTTTCCTACCGACAGCGTTGCTGACTCGGGTGTCCCAGGATATACGAGCAATGCTTCGGAGACACCGATGATCAAAGACCAGTAACCTACGAATGTCCTATACTCTTAACGGTTATGTTTCATATCCGTATAGTAGGAAGGAGCGAACTGCACAGTACACTCGTCCTTTGGTTAGCAAGCAGACATCTCACCTGCGCCAAAGGTGACGCAAGTTGGCAAAAGCCAATCGAGCCTTCTGTATCCGTGCTGAGATTTCGTCAGTCACCAGGCCATCAGCACTGATGAGACTCCCCAGATAAGTGAAGCGGTCTACACGTTCGACTAATTCATTCCCTATCAATAGTTCCGGTGAAGTCACAAGCCAATCCTGAAGCGATATTTTGCATCTCGAGGGCGAAAACCGCATCCCGAATATGCTCGCATTGTTGCTCAAGGTGGTCAGAAGACTGCATTTTGTCAGCGTCTTCAGAGAATAGAACTACGTCATCGGCATATTCTAGATCAGTAAGCGACTTTCCTGGTAGAAGGTCAACCCCTAGAGAGCTTGTATAAGGTTAATGTACTTCTCTGGTACACCTCTCAATGACAGACACTGCCATAGAACCTCACGATCCACTGAGTCAAATGCCGCTTTTAGGTCCAGGAACACAACTATTGTCAGACGTCTAAATGTGTCTGTGTTCTAGGACCTGTCGTAGTGTGAATATGTGGTCTATACAGCCACGTCCAGGTCGAAAACCAGCCTGGTTTTCACAAGTCTGCTCTTCATGAGCTCTAGTTAGGCGTCTAAGTATAATGGAGGCAATTAACCTCCAGACTACTTAATCGATCCATAATCTTCAGTAATCTTACACAATCGCCTACAGTGGATAATTTTCTTCTATTCGACACCAGTTCTCATTAAAAAACTATGAGAATTCCCTCAAAGAATCTAGTTTCTAGTGCGTAATGCATCATTGTTATTAATGAAGGGAGCTAGTGAAAATTGAATGGTTCTTCATAGTTGATATTTTTCGAATCTATGAAGCAATTAATACGATTATAATTATTGACAGTCAGTGGAGACAGCAACAACGTAGAAATATGTACGTACGTACGTACGTGCATCAGTTCAAGTTGCCTTACCACATTAGCACACAGAGATGCAATTGTCAATTTAAATCCCATAAATTTAGAGGCAGTAGAAGAAGCATGAGCAGGAATCAAAAAGATTAGGGTTTGAAAATATTACTCAAGGAGTATAAACTAGTGAAATAAAATTTAAGAAGAGAAAGATGAAAGTCACGAGGAATTCAAAAGATTAGAATTTGCATCTGTGCTGACTGTAATGATGTGTGAGAGCAGTAAGCTGTTCCCATCAGACAACCAGCGTCTACAACGATGCTACCTTCTCACAAGGAAGGCAAAAAATTTTAGAAAAGGTCAACCCCAAAAAAATGTCACACCTCACGGATTTCCATCCCCCGGCGGTTAGATCATTTCCAGAGCGCAGCTTCCAATTATGACTATACAGTAATAATCATACATAAACTTCAATTAAAAACGATCAATCAAGTCATAAGAAACAGTAAAACACATACACACACACACAGAGTAAACATACATTGAAAATCGTTGTATTCATTTGATAGAAATCACGTACAACCGTACCAATATTACTTAGCCATACAGGCCAAACTAATTGTAAACGGAACCAATTCAACAGGCATTGTTTCCAATCCAATAAGAATGCTGATAATGATGACAACCATTCTGTAGGTTGGTGTTGTTGTTGATGCCGATTCATTCGAGTAGATAAATATGGATCAAGTGGAGATTTTTTATTTTTACTATTTATACTACTACTAGTAGTAGTAGTATGAGTAGTTAAAGTTTGTTTAAATTTTCCACGAGAATTTCTCACTGCCAATGGTAATTTTGTCACATAATGAACATGATCATCATCAGCATCAGCATCGTCATCATCATCATTGACCGATACAAATTCCATATCACCGTCATCAACGAAATCGTCTTTACCACTGCTACTGCTACTACTACTACTCATACTATCATCAGGCGATGATCGAAACCATGGATTCCAATCTAGTGAATTATCGAAATCTGGCAATGGTGGTGGCGGTGAATTCGAACTAGTCGTCTCAGTCACGCCTCCTCCTGATGAACCGAACGTGGTGCCAGTGGCCGATTGAGATAATGACGAGGTGAGCGCCAAATCTGGTTGATTCGATGTCAATGAAGATGTAGTAGTTGTAGTAGTACTAGCAGCCGTAGGCAAAGCGTTGAATAAACGAGATTTTAAACGTTCCGTTAAATCGTTTAATTTTAATTCCAATTGGGTAATACGATTCTAATTAAATAAAAATATGAGAAAAAATCAATAAAAAAATATTTGTTAAATGCATGTTTAATTTTCGAAAATAATGTTTTCAGTGATTCATTTTCCATAAGTGAATTATTTTTTTGAAATGTTACATCTGAGCCAATCAGAAGGGGCTGGCCTAATGAGAAGGTCATTCGGATGACCATCAAGTTGTGTCCTTAAGAGAGGATGAATATCATTGGTCAAAAAATAAATTCATTTTCTATGGTTTCTTACTTACTTACGCCTGTTACCCTCAATGGAGCATAGGCCGTCCACCAGTTTTCTCCAACCAACTCTGTCCTCGGCCTCCCTTTCCAATTCTGTCCAATGTTTGTTCATTCTTCTCATGTCTTTCTCTATTTCTCGGCGTAATGTGTTCCTTGGCCTTCCTGTTTTCCTTTTACCTTGAGTGTTCCAAGTGAGGGCTTGTCTTGTGACACAGTTCGGTGCTGTTCGTAGTGTGTGTCCTATCAAGCGACTCCACCGCTTCTTCCTGATTTCCTCCTCCACTGGAATCTGGTTTATTTTTTCCCACAGTTCGTTGTTGCTGATCTTGTCTGGCCAACGAATCCGAAGTATTTTGCGTAGACGACTGTTAATAAACACTTGTATCGTCTATCGTAGTTCTCAAAGTTTCCGCTTCATACAGTAGAACTGTCTGCACATTTGTATTGAAAATCCTGATTTTGGTTTAGGTTGAAAGTTGTTTGGAGTTCCAGATGTTGTTCAACGGTATAAATGCAGCCATTGCTTTGCCAATCCACGCCCTCACATCTGCATCGGATCCACCTTGGTTGTTGATGATGTTGCCAAGATATGTTAAAGGTGTTAATGTCCTCCAAGGCATCTCCATCAAGAGTGATTTGGTTGGTGCATGTTGTGTTGCGTCGGAGAATTTCGCTTTTTTCCTTTATTTTCTATGGTAGGAGAATATAAATATATATGGACCAGTATTTGTACAGATGATACGGTAGCCAAATAGATTTCCAGTTCCACTCTTGCGTTCCCGCTAAAGTAGCCAGTTTGAGGGATTAGCAGGCATCTTCTGCACCGCACAACATAACAATAGCAATTTGCTTAAAAGGTATTTTTTTGCATTAATTGACTGTTATATATATATTCACGTTGACTATCGTTTCTTGTGGTTGACCACTGGCGACAAAGTGACTGATTAGTAGACTCTTCGGTACAATTTGATAGACTGAGGATCTAATACTGATGTATCTAGGGATTGCCAATTAATTCAAAATGTTATGCTTTTTTTAAGAATTGACTGAAAGTTTTGATTTCCTCCATTTAGCATTTTTCTTTTATATTGGATTCAGTCGAACTTACGTCTATGGTTATGCAAGTGCATTGATATTACACATATGGGATATAGCCATTATACAAACCAATGAATTTATACGAAAGTGCCCAAACCGAAGCAAGTGGTTTTATAAGTGTCACTTATCGAGCTTTTGACCTGCAAGACTAATCCATAAGGCAGTGAGGCAACCTTAGAGGATCCAGTCATATGGTAGGCGGTGTCCAATATTAGGTTGATACGACAATTGTTCTTTGAGGATCCTGGAGCTCATGCTCACCACTGGTTTGCAATTAGGGTTTTCCAACTTGGCTAAGTGGAATCCAGTACCTACTAACCGGATTCAAATCTCGCCCCCACCCATCGGACATCTGCTTTACGTCCTGCCACTTTTGTAAACAACACCTGTGCCACAAGAAGGCAGTCAGGTGGATTTCAGTGGTAGTGGCTATGTGTGAGTATTTCACAAGAATTTGAGACTACAATAGTAGCGTATATGTAAGTACGTATCGAGCAGCGGCATGCACTCTTTGTGTTCAATGAAATTCTAATCTACTGAAGTGCTCATCCCTTTTATCTTTTTCTTTATGAATTTATCTCACTAAATTATACTTCTTGAATAATATCTTCGAACCCACAATGCCAGTAATACTTCTACTGTGACGTGAGCTACTTATAAGTAGTATATGACGTGAGTGTCAACGTAATGTCTGGCAGCAGAAGATGGGGAGAGATCAAGAAAGGAAGAGTTAGAACACAATGGAATTTGTATGAAACACATGAATAGTGACAATGGATTGATGTTTTGCAACAGGAACAGTCCAGTTCGATATGATGGACTGATAATTTGCAAATGAACGATTTACGATATGGTTTTCCGATTTTACTGAGTAACTCTGTAATTTTCGTTAAATACAATTCGGTTGCTCCACCTGTGTTCTCGTTCACTACACTACTAACTCTACGACTATGGGATTTGAACTGACAATTGCGTCTGTGTTAGAGCGGTATGGCAACCTGAACTTATATACTCACGTACGAAGTTCTACGTCATAGCTGACTGACTCTATTCACATGGAGTTGGCTCAGTCGCCTTCTCCATTTTTGCTTCGCTGTAATTTGCTGCTGCGCTTTGTGTTCACATGTCCGACTGCGTTCACGATCACATGAAATAAACTCATCAGACTGATTCCTTATTTTGGCTTTTTATTACCATTGTCGCACAAACGGAAATCGGTAAGACAATCTGTATCATAACATACTGAAGCTATAATTCGTGTGGGGGGTTGTTACGCTTGCACGTAAACATGTCAATTTGATATGCTTGGACTATCACGAGTTCACCTAAGTTGGAAAACGAGAGCGTGGATCCATGATCCGGCAACTTGACATGCTACTCTAATCTGAGTGTCCCAACCCCGATTGAATAAAAGAAGACTCGATATGAAGTACAACCTGTATTCTACTAACAGCCTGAAAGTACGAGGTCCTAGTCCAGAAGAATGCAAGGATCCCGGACTAGGGATCCGTGACCGGGTCGTAATTATATATTAAGGTCGAATATAAAACACCATCGAAGTCTGTGACATTGACAGTTAAGTCAACCAATAGGAAACAACATCTGCAGTGACAATGACATTTAGGCCGACCAATAAGAAATAACATTGAAGTACATGACATTGATATCTAAGACGACCATAAAAAATTAACCAATAGGAATTGACCAATCATTCTTCTTCGGATATTGGATGAATATCCGAAAACACGGATCATTTCAAAAAAAACAACCCGCAAAATAAATAAGTTCAAACTAACTTGTTGTTCATGATTACGTTGTTCAGCAGTTTGAGTTGTTACTTTTAACCATGCATAAGTTAAATTGAATGAACGTGATAAACGTTCCATTTGACGACGATAACTTTGACTTAATTCTTCTAAATATCTTTTTAGAAGTAGAAAAAAAGTAACAAATAGAATATAATAAGAAATCGATTAATTAGATAGACAGCAGACAGACAGGTAAAACAGAGAACTTCGTACGTGCATACATACGTACGCACATCGGTTCAGGTTGCCAAATCGCATCAGCACACAGACACGATTGTTAATTCGTATCTATAAGTGGTAGAGATAGTAGAAATATTACTGGTAATGGAGAAGACTAGGGTTTGAAGATAAGTTTAGAAAGAGAAAGGTAGAGGTGTTGACGAATCCAGAAGATTAGGATTTGAAAGAACACAAAGAGTGGATGCATCTGCGCCATTGCAAATGATTTTGAGCCATGTCGTTCAAGGTCTCTAACCATTGGTGATTATCGTCTTGCAGACCCCAACCAGGTAGCCTACATCTACCAACATGACTCAGTTCGCTTGTCAGTGACTTCATAAATTTCTGCCATGTTTTGGTTTGGCCGCCCCTAACTTTCTTCCAACCTACTCCTACACTACAAAACATAGCTCGTTGAGGCAGTCGGTGATTAGGCATACGTAACACATGACCCAATCACCTCAACTGATTTGCTATCGAATTGACCGATTAATTATTGAAAGAGTTCGCTTGGTTATTTTTAAAAATCATTTTCATAACATAGAATTCTAGCATTCCTTCATACAGTTATACGTATATATATATATATATATATATATATATATATATACAGGTCCAACCAAATATTTAGCCTCCTCATTACAATAGCTTAGTATATTATTTTGGATCAATTTTTTTGTAAAAACTAAACATGTGGTTATTTTTATCGCATAGTGATATGGCTTATTGATTAAGCTAACGTAATTATGGGGTTGTAGAGATGTTTTGAGTAAATGTTTGAAATCATGAATTGACAGATGTTAGACCACCATATAAGAAACCTGGAGGAACTGGACGGCCAATTCCTCCTGGTACATGAAACTCATCAATGCAAATTATCATGAGCTCACTTGCGACTAGCTAAGTGAGGCAGATTTTCCGAATTCTAATGCGAAGTCATGTGACCGGTGGAGTTCAACAGTGTTCAAGTGTCAAGCACTGCTCACCGAAGGCAGTTAGGCGTTCGCGAGCAAGACTGAAGGTCCTAGGTTCGAATTCCACGAAGTGCTGGGTTCGTGCATATGCGCTGCCACTGACGAGTCTCTCATACCAGGACGAAATCGCCGTCCAATGCTTCCAGGTTTATAATGTGGTTGTCTACAAACTGATCGATTCATAATTTCAAGTACAAACTAATATCGTTACCAGCTTCTAATAAAATGCTTATGACTGTGATGTGAACAACATAAGATTGGAAGGTGCTGGTTGAACTTGATCGCTGGAAAATATTAGATATAGGGCCAAAGTATACGTGTTGGATATGATAGTATTAAACAAGTGACTATACGCCCAGGTGTTCTCTCAAATTAAAATCTTCTAAATTCTTGATGTCACTAGATTATACTTCTTGAATTATGTCTTCTAACTCTAATCTCTCGGATAACCAATAATGCTTCTACTATGTATACGACTATGAGATTAGTATATATATATATATATATCACGACAATGTGAACATAATAGCTCAATCCTGTGATGAAACCTGGTTGGCGGCTTACGTTCCACAAGAGGAAACAGGTCTAACTAAGTCGGCAAATACTGTCAACGAATGTGCAAATCTAGTGAAATATTAGTTGGACTCTTAAGTAATGGATACACATAGTCCTATATGGTGAAGACGCTGACAAAATGCAGAGTCTTCTGACTAACCTAAGCAACAATGCAAGCATGTTCGGGATGCGGTTTTCCCCCTCGAAATGCAAAATGTTGCTTCAAGATTGGGTTTCATCGGCACCTGAACTAGTGATAGGGAGTGAAGTGGTCGAACGTGTAGACCGCTTCACTTATCTTGGGAGTCTCATCAGAGCCGATGGCCTGGTGACTGACGAAATCTCAGCACATATACAGAATGCTCGATTGGCTTTTGCCAACCTGCGTCACTTATGGCGTAGGCGAGATATCCGTTTTCTAATTAAAGGACGAGTGTACTGTGCAGTGGTTCGCTCCGTCTTACTTTATGGCTGTGAAACATGGCCAGTGAGAGTAGAAGATATTTGTAGGTTACTGGTTTTCGATCATAGGTGTCTTCGAAGCATTGATCGTAAATCCTCGGACACCCGAGTGAGCAACGCTGTTATTAGAAAACGGTGCTACGTAAGAATGGCAGATCAATAGACGCAGTAGTGACACTTCATCAGTTGAGGTGGTTGGGACATATGTTGCGTATGCCTAATCACCGACTGCCTCAACGAGCTATGTTTTGTAGTGTAGGAGTAGGTTGGAAGAAAGTTAGGGGCGACCAGACCAAAACATGGCACAAATCCATGAAGTCATTGACAAGTGGACTTAGCCATGTCGGTAACTGTCGACTACCACCTAGTTGGGGTCCGCGAGATGATAATGATCGATGGTTCGAGACCTTGAATGACATGGTTCAAAATCGTTCACAATGGCGCCGTTGCACTTATTCTTTGTGTTCTCTCAAATCCTAATCTTCTGGATTCTTCAACCCCTCTACTTTTGACTTTCTAAACTTTTCTCACTGAATCATACTTCTTGAATAATATCTTCTAATCCTAACCTCTCCGATGACTTCTAATTCCCTTACTACCTCTTCTACTATTGGATTTGAATTGACAATCACATCTCTGTGCTGATGTGGCATGGCAACATGAACTGATGTACTTACGTACGATGTTCTACGTTGCATCCGACCGACCGAATGGATATACATATATTGAACATTGAATTGCTGGCAAATCGATCAATAAAAAAATACCGAATTGACTGAATATTGAAATCAACAGCACCACTAGTTAGTCGCAGCCCCAGATAAACAAACACCAACCAACCAACCAAATGATGAAATAAATTTTTAAAAAAAAATTTGAATTTGTTAATTAGTTTATATGTACATACATATACAAGTATGAAGTTAAGCACAAATAAGTTGATGATTGGAATTTTGAATGCGGTAATGTGTTATAATTAGCTAGCTTTGAAATAGAGAGAAAAGGATACGCCTAAAATTTTTAAACAAAAAAAACCAAACCAAGCCAAGCTAAACATCACATCAGCATTAAACAACTGCTTGACAACAAGGTGGGCGTGTAAAAAGAAAAATACGACACGATGCAATAATTATCACGATTTTGCAAGATATTCACAATTGAACACTGGAAAAAAATTCTATGTGATAAATACATTGATGTTTATTACAGTTCGACTGCTTTTTCAGGAGTCGAATTTCTACCAGGAAAATCGCTTACTGACTTAGAATATGCCGATGACATAGTTCTATTTGATGAAGACGCTGACTACCCTAAGCGACAATGCAAGCATGTTCGGGATGCGGTTTTCCCCCTCGAAATGCAAAATATTGCCTCAAGATTGGGTTGCATGGGCACCTGATATAGTGATAGGTAGTGAAGTAGTAGAACGTGTAAACCGCTTCACTTATCTTGGGAGTCTCATCAGTGCCGATGGCCTGGTGACTGACGAAATCTCAGCACGGATACAGAAAGCCCGATTGGCTTTTGCCAACCTGCGTCACTTATGGCGTAGGCCAGATATCCGTTCGCTAACCAAAGGGCGGGTGTACTGCGCAGAAGTTCTCTCCGTTCTCTTATATGGCTGCGAAACATGGCCGTTAAGCGTAGAAGATGTTCGTAGGTTACTAGTATTCGATCGTAGATGTTTAAGAAGCATTGCTCGTATATCGTGGGACAGCCGAGTAAGCATTGCTGTCGTTAGGAAACGAGTACATATAAGGATGGCAGATCAATTGATGAAGTGGTGAAACTTCATCAGTTGAGGTAATTGGGACATGTGTTTTGTATGTCTAACCACCGACTGCCCCGACGAGCTGTTTTATGGTGTTGGAGTAGGTTGGAAGAAAGTTAGGGGCGGCCAAACCAAAACATGGCACAAATCCATGAAGTCACTGACAAGTGGACTGAGTCATGTTGGTAGATGTAAGCTACCTGGTTGGGGTCCGCGAGACGAAAGTCGCCGATGGTTAGAGACCTTGAATGACATGGCTCAAAATCGTTTGCAGTGGCGCAAGTGCATCCATTCTTTGAGCTCTCTCAAATCCTAATCTTCTGGAATCGTCAGCACCTCTACCTTTGTCTTTCTAACCTTATCTCACTGAATTATACTTCTTGGATATTATCTTCAAACCCCAATTTTCTCCATTACTGCGAATAGTTCTACTGTCGCTATCACTTTTGGATTTGAACTGACAGATGTGTCTCTGTGCTGATATGGTTTGGCAACCTGAACTGATGTGCTTACGTCCGAAGTTCTGCTTTGTATCTGTCTGTCTGTCAGTTCGGCTGTAATATTTACTATAATATCTTAAAGACTAATGAATAATTCCGATTTACTAATATTTATTCAGCTAAATGGTAATCTTTTCATTTCTTCAACAACTTGAAAGGTTCTTTCGAGGAGCCCACATCATGCGGACATGCCGTACATCGATATTCATTGTTTTTTTGCTCTTTAAAAAAAACTTCCGATTGGTGACTTTCGAAGCGACTTAGTTCCCACTATGCGACCCATCAACTCTCACGGTATAGTCTAATTGGTTTAAAAACCATATTTCATGGCTAGTGGGTTGGTTTTTCTACCAAGTTGGTTTTCCATAGGATGAGGTCGCCAACGCCATGCCCAACCGTCCTCCTTTATCCGGGTTTGGGATCGGCAGTAACCCTAGAAAAAGGCTTCAGATGGCGATTGGCCGGGACAGAGTTGTCTGGAGTACCCTGATCGACAGTCTATACTCCACAAAGGAAAAGAAGTGGTTCGTTCCGTTATTTTCCTTTGGCAAGCTATTTTTGTATGATGAATACTACAACCTCATTCTCTATCTACTTCGGAACAAGAAAGAAATAGTGACTTAATTGATAACCA